TCGTGTCTTATTGAAGTATTAATAGCGCATGTATGTGTTATTGTACAGGAGGCCTATGGCGCATGCCCAAAGGAGTGCTGTGCTCCCATTGGCTGACAGCTGTGACGTTGGCGCCTGTCAGTGTAGTGAGTCGGGGCGGCTACTCGCTGCTGCTCTTCTTCACTTCAACTTAAACTCACTCGTTTTGTCAGGAAAGATTTGATCAGACGACATTTGACCGACCAGGACGAGCAGCTCGGTGTCGTGTTCGCTCCGAGGCAGTAAGTAAAACCGAACAGCTAGCAGTTAGCTGTTGTGTAGTCGCTGTTAGCAGGCTAAGCTAACTCAGCTTGAGTTTGTACATCAGGATTATAAGGAGGCTAACGGTGCTGCTAATGCTGCTGTGTGTGCCTCAACATGTCCCAGCTCCTTACCTCAAGAGAACAAACCGGTTAAAGTTATTATCCGCCGTCTGCAGCTGATGATCCTGTTCAGTCAGTGTCTCAGCTGATCTCTAGTTTTTATTAAACACACTGAGGCTGTGCTGTTGGATCATGAACAGCACCTGACGTGTTTACACAAACACCAGAGACTCTTCCAATCATCAGAACAAAAGAAACAGTTCATCTGTTCAACTAAAAATAAGTTATTTAACCAGTCTTACAGGTTACAGAGTAGTCGATGTTCCAGTTTCTCTGGTGACGTTTGAGCTCCACGTGTCTCTGTGGACTTTACAGTCCGATGCAGTGAATCCAAAACACATCAGGACGCTGGTCATGGGGTGGATGCTTTAGAGCAGCCTGCTCTGTAGTCTGTCTTCTGTTGTTCAGCAGTCAGTGTAGAGTTGTGACTTCAGCTGCAATGCTAGACTGTATGTGTAAGCATGAAGCTGTTTTGATAATCAGCTGATCAGTTGGAGTCACTTTTAATAAGCAGAAGTCTAAACTCTGTGACGAATTTCTGGTTACTTTACAAAACAAAACATTTGGGAAACACGAATTGTGACTTTTCACCATTTTCTGACATTTTGATGCAACCAATCGATTCATTCATTCAGCAAATAATCCACTGATTATTCGGTAATGGGAGTAGTGGTCAGTTGTGATTCTCACCAGTTCACACGAATCATTAACGTGGTGAACAGCTGACAGAGTAAACCAGATGTTCTCTGACATCGTATTTATATTACTGAGATGGATTATTTAAAATTCCATTGTAAGACTTTATATATACATAATAGTGGTGGGACACAGTTAAAAAAATAATCTAATTAATTGGAGACTTTGTAATTATTAATTGCCATTAGTCACATTTTTATCAAATAGCAATATTATTAATAAGCAAAGTTTTTCAATTCAAATAAACTTTGGTTGATGGCAGAATCAATGAATGGACATATATGTGAAATTAAACAACAAAGATGTTTATTTGTCATCTATATTTATCTGCATTTTTCATCCGTCTACATTCACAGATTCGTGCAAACTCAAAGTGCAATTATAGCGATTACATTCAACATTTTTAGACTTTGTGTCTTAAAACTCTTTGTTGCACAGTTGCCACACAACCATTCACTTACACAAGCTGCCATCGAGAAATTAGGAAAACAAAACAAAAAAGCTTTCCTTTCAAAATGAACGCTTTTTGAGAATGTGTGAGTTAAAGCTTCAAGTGGTCGCATTGGTGTGAGCACATGATGATCATGAAGCTGTAATTGTGTTGCTGTAACTGGCACAGGAAGCTGCTGTGTTCACCACAGTGGTGGAGCGTAGAACTTGTATGAGCGACCATCTTGATTCAGCCACAGAGCAGCTTTTATTTTACAGAAATACATCAACTAACTAAATAACTGCATTATCAATTGATCTGATGATTATTTTCTTCATTGCTCTGTATTTTTAAAAAAGTCTATATATATGTACATATTTGGGTTTTTAGTCTGTTGGTTTGACAGAATTAAGCATCTGAAGATGTCACATTTGTCACAGATGACTGTCAAATTTTAATCAAAACCAACATTTAAAAAAAAAAAGAGCAGATAAATTGTGAATGAAAGGAATTCTGAAATTGAAAATACCAGTTTATTTGTTCAGCAGAGGGAGAACTTCTTTAATGAGATGATCTGAAGAGTTTCTGTGTTTCTGTCTGTTTTAAAGCGACCTCAGACATGTCAGGTGTGTTTATGATGGCGAGCTCTGACACTGAGTCGATGATGATGTTCTGTATGAGGGACTCATACGAGGGTCTTTACTCTCCTGCAGGGATTTCACCGTCTGATCTCATTAACAGCCACTGAAGAAGAAGAAGAAGAGGAGGAAGAGGAGGAGGAAGAGGGGGAGGAGGAGCAAGAGCGCTGTTAAAGCTGATCCACCATCACTCGGCTGGACATGAACTCTGCTCTACTGCTGTAGACTGAGAGACAGACAGGAGGACAGACAGGCGGACAGACAGGAGGACAGACAGAAGGACAGACAGGAGGACAGGTAGAGGGTTCGTACCTGACTGCAGGACCAGATGGGAAACAGCGCACTGAAGTCTCACCTTGAAACCTCCCAGAAGACGGGAGTGTTTCAGCTGACGGGAAAAGGCCTGCAGGAGGTGAGATCACTGTGTTTACTGGTCAACACTGAGGAGACACAAACAGACACACAAAATCCGAACAACACAACAAAAGAAACCAGACCCACAAAGCAGAAGTCTGTATATGACACAACAGACAAGTTAATCTAAAATTACACATAAAACATCAGCAGTACATGTAACACGTCACTGTCACGGTGTTGCAGAATAAGTTACTTTGAACAAATCCTGCACACATTATCTTCAATGCAGTTCATGTTCTAAAATTGTTCAACTGGTCAACAGAAGACAAATATAGTGGCTTCCATCTCTGCACTTTTAGTTTGTTGTAGATTTAATATCAAAAGGATAACATCTTGCTTCATTTAGTAATGCTGTAAGAGATAAATAAAAAACTGTTCAAATGAGACAAGACGTGAACTTCAGATGTGGACTCATCTCAGTAAATAGTTGGTGATTAATGGACTGATCAGTGCAGCTCTGCTTACAGTGCCTGTAAAAAGTATTCACCCCCGTTCGTGAGAAGGTATCCTCACAAACGCACCATCCCCACCGTGAAGCCTGGTGGTGGCAGCATCATGACGTGAAGCACGGTGGCGGCAGCATCATGATGTGAAGCACGGTGGTGGCAGCATCATGATGTGAAGCACGGTGGCGGCAGCATCATGACGTGAAGCACGGTGGCGGCAGCATCATGATGTGAAGCGCGGCGGCGGCAGCATCATGACGTGAAGCACGGTGGTGGCAGCATCATGACGTGAAGCACGGTGGTGGCAGCATCATGATGTGGGGATCTTCTCAGCAGCAGCCTGGAAGGCTTGTAAAGATGGAGGGTGAATGAATGCAGCAGAGTGTAGAGAAATCCTGGAGGACAACCTGATGCAGTCTGCAGGAGAACTGAGACTTGGAGAAGACTTGTTTTCCATCAAGACAATGAGCCGAAGCAAACAGCCAAAGCTCCACAGAGATGGTTTAAAGACAACAAGGTGAAGTTCTGGAGGCCCAGTCAGAGTCCAGACCTCAGTCCACCTGAGAATTAAAGTCTGGACTTAAAGTTCTGTTCACTCATGATCCCTGTGGAACCTGACAGAATCTGAACAGTTTTATAAGAAGAATAAAGTAGAATTGCAGCGTCCAGATGTGTATTTTTAATTAATGAAATGACTTTGTAAAAATGTGATAAAGTCACTCACAGCCTCTAGCTTTATCAACCATTTTTATCACATGTTGTCGTAGGATAGATAAATGATCACTGCAGGTTGGCTGATGACACCTCAGGGTGCCATTTATTAGGAACACATGTACAGTCACACTCTGCAGCTCTGCTTCAGGAGGCTTCTACAGTACATTATTCAGACATATGATGCTGCTACTTTACGTCTTTTAAAGTGGTGGTGAGTCCATTATACTGAAAGATGTTCCTGATATTTTATCCACTCCATTAACATCAGATTTAGTCAGTAGGGTGGAAGCATTAAACTATCAGGTTTCACTGACGCAGGAAGGAAAACCCACCGAGCTGCAGCAGCGATGATACAAATACAACACTGACAGCGTGACGACAACAGTAATAATAATATAGTTTTATGAGCTTTAATTTGTTCATACATGTATATATTGTAGGGAATGAAAACACAACACACCACAGTAATACATTTTATTTATGTATTTTTATTGATTTTGAGACATTTTCTGGTTTGTATTAAGAGACGTCCTAGTTTTCTGTCCATCATCTGAGGAACTAGACGACTAATTCTTGCAGCTCGAGTTGGAAGTCGAGTGAAATACGAATAAGCAGTCAGTGTTTTATTATCTCGACATCATCCAGCAGAATGAACAGAAACAGGATCGACACACTGAAACACTCTGTTTAACATCTTCCTGCTCTGGTTCTGTTCTAATAACAGAACAGCTTCAGTCTGAGTTCAGAGGATGAAACCGGAGAACAAGTCTGCAGCTTTCTGTCTCTGTTTCAGTTTCCAGAAGAGCTGCAGAGACTCACCGCCAACCTGAGGACGGTCGATCTGTCCGGGAACAAGATCGAGGTTCTTCCTGCCGCCGTCGGGAACTTCCTGCAGATGAAGAGTCTCACGCTGAACTCCAACAAGCTGAGTGAGTGTTTGATGGGTTGTTTTTTTAATTGGTCCAGAACCCTCAGACTCATGACACTGTGGTTCTGTCCTTAGCTGAGATCCCAGCTGAGATCGGGAAGCTAAAGAAGCTGGAGACCCTGAGTCTGAACGGGAACCGGATCCAGCAGCTGCCTCCGACTCTGGGCCAGCTCAAAGCCCTGCGGACCCTCAACCTGTCCGGGAACCAGATCTCAGAGTTCCCATCTGGACTGGGAACCCTGAGGCAGCTGGATCTGCTGGACCTGTCTCGGAACCAGATCCACAACGTCCCCGCAGTGGTGTCCGAGCTGCAAGCCATCGAGATCAACCTCAACCAGAACCAGGTACCTCAGAAGAAGATCTCACATTCGTAACTAACAGACCGGTACTACAGAACCAGAACTAGGTCTCACAGTCCTGATGAACAAACAGGTATTACAGAATCAGAAAACTAGGTACCACAGAACCAGGTTTTGTAGTCCTTAATAACAGAGACAAGTACTGTAGAGACCAGAACCAGGTCTTGCAGTCTCAGATTACAAGGACCCTAGAGGTGTCTTACAGTTCTAATGAACAAAAGAGAGGCACTACAGAACCAGAACCAGGTCTGACTAACAAAGACAGGTGCAGCAGAACCAGAGCGAGGTCCTACAGTTTTTATTTACAAACACAGGTACTACAGAACCAGAACTAGATACCCCAAAGCTTGACACTCTTAATTAACTGACAGAGGTACTGTAGAACCAAAACCATGTGACCAAGTGCTCCAGAACCAGGTCTCACAGTCTTTACTAAGAAAGACAAGTACAACAGAACCAGAATCAGGTCTCACAGTTCTAAAGAACAAAGATAGGCACTATAGAACCAGAACTAAGTCACCAAGAACCAGATCTTTGAATCTTAATTAACAAAGACAGGCATTGAAGAACCAGGACAAGGTGCCCCAGAACTTGGTATCTTAGTCCTTAGTAACAAAGTCAGGCACCATAGAACCAGAACCAGGTTGGTTGGAGGTAGGTAATTATCTGGATGTTGTCGTAACCTGGTTTCCTCCTCTGGTCCAGATCTCGGTGCTGTCGGCGGAGGTCTCTCGATGTCCCCGTCTGAAGGTTCTCCGTCTGGAGGAGAACTGTCTGGAGCTGTCCTCCATCCCAGTGTCCATTCTGAACGAGTCCCAGGTGTCTCTGTTCTCAGTGGAGGGAAACCTGTTTGAGGTGAAGAAGCTCCGAGACCTGGAAGGATACGACAAGGTGAGGACCAGCTCCTGCACCGCCACGTTCTGGGTTGGACTCTGGTGGCCGACTCTGATGGACTGTCAGTTGGCAGCTGGAAATATTAAGTCAGAAACATTTAGACAGATGAGACGGAAGAATCCTAGAAACCAATCAGTGAGACCAGTAGCAGTCCAAATCTGTGTATAATCCACTCTGTTGTGGTTTTAATGGTGTATCGTGATCTTTGCTGGTCTCTGTTGGTTTTTAATTATCTCTGTTTTTCTCTAATGATCTCTGCTGGTCTCTGCTGGTTTCCATGGATCTCTTATGGTCTGTGTTGATGTCTCATGGTATCCGTTGGTCTTAAATTGTCTATGTTGTTCTCTGTTGGTCTCTAATGGTCTCCATTCATCTATATTAATGTGTAATGGTCTGCTTGGTCTCTAATGATCTCTGTTGGACTCTAATGATGTTTATTGTCTCTAATGGTCTTCATTGGTTTATATTGTTCTTCAATGGTCTCTATTGGTTCCTAATGGTCTCTTTAGGTCTCTGTTGGTCTCTGCTGGTTTATAATGGTCCCTGTTGGTCTTTAATGGTCTCTGTTCATCTCAGTTGGTCTCTACTGGTCTCTGTTAGTGTCTCATGGTATCTGTTGGTCTCTAATGATCTCTGTTGGACTCGAATGACATTTGTTGGTCTGTAATGGTCTCCATTGGTCTATATTGTTTTTTAATGGTTTCTATTGGTCTCTGTTAGTCTCTAATAGTCTCCATTCATCTATATTAATGTCTAATGGTCTGTTTTGGACTCTAATGACATTTGTTAGTCTCTAGTGGTCTCCATTGGTCTATATTATTTTTTAATGGTTTCTAAGGTCTTTGTTGGTCTCGCTGGTCTCTAATGGTCTCTGCTCTCCCTCCTCAGTACATGGAACGATTCACAGCCACCAAGAAGAAGTTTGCCTGAAGCCCCCGATGATTAATCTGGACCTGCGAGTTCACCTGGAGGCGGAGCCAGGTGAAGCTCCACCCCCTGCAACACTCATCGCTGCTTCTTCTTCTGCTGCTAAAACCAGACTCCAGGCAGCCGGGACAGTCCTCCCACAAAGACCTAAACCTGCAGAGAGACCACATGGGTCCACATGGAGACAGGCAGAGACTCAAACAGGACAGATTCAACACCACAGAAGAAGAAGGAGGCTTCAGGCTCTCTGATGTTTCACTGTTTTCTCCTGAATGTGTCACTGTAAAACTTTATTGTTCGCTCAGCGGTGGACAGAAACATTCAGCTCTCACAGCAGCTTTCATCCAGCCGAAACAACGTCGCTGCAGACCGCTGCAAAAATTGTACTGAAATGAAACAAAATATTGCAAAATGCGACAGGAATGATACAGAAACAATGTTAGGTCAGAGCATTCACAGATAATACTGCAAAATTCTCCAGAAATCAAAGAAACTACATTAATACAATGACATTAAACAGAAATCAAGCCGTATAAAGCAAAGTACTACAAAAAAAATCAACAGAAATCATTTCAGATGTTTCAAAATTTCCCAGAAGTCAAACAGAACATGAAAGAAAAAGTAAAGAATGCTTAAGAAGTAACACAGAAATCACTGTGATTCAAAATACCACTTGAATATACTTATGAAATCCTCAAAAATCTAACAGAAATCAAACAAAGTACCACTGAAATCAAATTACAATATTTCAAAATTGTCCAGAAATCAAACAAAAATGCTCAAAAAATCTAACAAAAATACTCCAGATATCAGATACGATACAGCAAAATACCATCAAATCTTACCTGAAATCAAATTAATATATTTCAAAATACTCCAGATATGCAATATTTTTGATATGATGGTAAAAATCTGATTTGAGGAAACATTTTAAGTGATTCCTTAATTAAGTGAAACCCAGTGATGTTTGTTCCAGTGACTTCTGTCTTCCAGCCTCACTGAGCTTTTTATTCACCACGAGCTGAACTCTGCTATTGGCGTCCAGTGATTAATCCGTTAACACGTCTTTTAATAACTATTTAGATGTTATTTATCTTTTTCAGATTTGCACGAGAGTCAGACAGCAGCATGTGAGCTGTAAATTCATGTTCTGCTTCCTTGGGCTGATTATTGATCTTTAATTATTACTAACTGTCAAACCTACAAACAAGCATTATAATCTGAACTGTTTTAATGTGTCGAAAGCAGGAAAAAAAACAGAAACAATGCAGAAGATTATTTTTTAAATTCTCATCTAACAGCGTTTAAACACAACAGCGACACGACGACTATGCTAAGCTAGGCTAGTTAACACTTAGCAGCTAGTTCTGCCTGCAACTATGTTTTTAAATGTTCTGATTTCAGATTTAGCTTCTGTTGTATTTATGTAAATAAACCCATCTGGACAAAGTGGCTAAGCTAAGCTAACAGCTAGCCTCAGCTAGCCCAGTGCTATGCAGCACGGTTTAATGCTGTTGAGACGTTTTCCTGCAGTTCATTTGTTTATTTGAAGGTTTCTCAGTTTTTCTCAGTGTTTCTGTCTTTCTGTTTCTGACAAACTGAACTGATGTTTTTGAATGAAGGCTGGTGGACTGAAGAAACTCTCCTCCCTCAGGTTGATGGAAACTCGTCTCAAGTGTCTTTTATTCCTCTTTAAAAAGCGACTTTGTGTGAGTTAGTGACATACATTTAAAGGAGCAGTTCACCCAGTTTCCTCCCTGCTGCTTTGAAGGATTCATTCACGTTTTTCATCTGTTTCATGTTTTTCTTGTTTTTTCTGCCACTTTAAATGCTGTAAATGTTGCACAGAGTTCAGTTTGTAGATGAAGGATCAGAACTCTTTTTTTTCTGTCATTAAACACTAACTCTGCAGGTTGAAATGTTGATATGTGGAGCTTTGTCTTTATTTCATTCTGCTTAAATAAAGGTTGGGGTCAATGTCCTGCTGATGAGCTTTAACGGATGTTAAACAAGAGTCCTGAGTGAATTATGCGCTTTGTCTTTTCCTGATCAATTAATCTGCTACTAAAAATGCTGGAAACATGTACAATAAACTGAGCAAAAGCTTTTCATCTCAGCATCGTCCGGTTACAGCCGTCAGATCCAGACGCCAGAGTTAAATGAATATTTAAACAATTAAATGAAATACACAAAGAAATCAAACATCATGTGAAATCATGTGTATTTCTGTACGGCTTCATGTGGTAGTAATACTTTTACTACAGTCAAGTATCCGAGTATCAGTAGAGAGCCTCTACCTGAGCTGATGTCGCACCAGCAGGTGGCTGTCATGCGCAGTGAGTCCTCACTCACGCACACACACGAACCTCCACATTCCACCGAGATTCAGCAGATCGTTGTTGTGAAGCTCGACTGAATAAGAGCCGCACTTCCGGTTACAGGTTTTAATCTAACAGCTGAAGTTTTATCACCTCCAAGTAAATAAATTTCAATGAAAGAAGTTCACAGAATACTAATATTTAATGAAATAAATAAATTAACATAAAATGTAGTAATCTTTAAAAGTAAAACAAAAATGTACGTAAAAAATATTTTTAAAAGATTTTTTAAAAAAACACCAAAATGCAACAAATTAGGTAATAAAAACAAAACAAAAGCTAAAATATATATGGCAACAAAAATAAACAGAATAAAAACAAAAGTAAATAAAAATAACTGAATTAAAATCATTGTTTTTGCTATTTACAAACACATAATAAAATAAGAGAAATAACTAAAAAATATTAAAATATGTTAAATAAAACAACAAATCCAAATAAAATTTAATTTAGAACAAAAATATAATGAAAACACAATAAACTAATAAGTGTAAAATAAAACATAGTTAATAAAATGTAATAAAAAATAGAGTATACTACTCTTACTAAATGAATGTCCACAAACAAACTTAAATAAAAAGTAAGATAAAAAAAATAGAATGTGATAAATAAAACACTATTTTATTATTAAAACAGGCATATGAAAAAAAAAAATACCTGGCCAAAAACAGTCGGGAAGTTTTCATAGCAGCTGGTGAAAAAGTTAAGAAATGATAAATGAATGATTAAAACAACAACAAAAAACTATAGTTATGTGTATGAAAGAAAGGAAGTTTTATCAACATCTAATCAACATAACCCCCGTCTTATCTTGTCTTATTCTATTTTGTTTTATTCATTTTATCCTATTTTATCTTATCGTATCTAATCTCATCATATCATATCATATCATATCATATCATATCATATCATATTATATCATATTTTATTTTATCTTGTCTTATCTTAACGTAATAAAAGTTGAACCAGACCTTTATTTTGAAGGCGCCTCCTGTCTTTCGTGTCGAAGTTGCCGTTTTTCGGTGTGAAAACAAACGGAGAACTTTCCCAGACCGCAGAACTCTCACTGTGCCACCGCTTCTCACGCCGTGTTGTTGTTTGTTTACCTGTTTACGTGTTGTTTGTTTGCCGGGATGAGCCTCCCTCCGTGAGTCCACCTGCGGCGCGAACCTCCTCCAGCCTCTCGCCGCCTCCAGCCTCCGTCTCCGCTCCGCCGGGAGTCCGGTCGGTCCGCCGGGAGATGAAGCCTCAGTAGCGGAGTGGGACACCGAGCGGAGCCGAACCGAGCCGAGCTGACCCGGTTCCCGTGAGAGCCGGTTTGAAAGCCCCGCAGACGGAGACAATGAGAAGATGAAGCCGCTCCTGTGGATTGTTGTGTTTTTGCTGCGGAGTCCGGCGGGGAGCTGCGGGAACGGTGAGTGAACGAGCTCATTACGGCCGCTAGCGGCTAATGTGGCTACAGCCGGACTCCACCTGAAAGACAGCAGTTTTTAGAGTTATTCACATTCCGCTAAATATTCACACCTGAATGAAGTTACCTGGAGATATTTAATAATGGAGCTTGTCATTAATTCGGCGTACATTAGCACATCCAGCAGCAGGTTTTTAAAGCACTTTTCTTAACTTTTTTTAATCGCTTTAACCACTCTACGGGGGTCGTTTGCCTCAACCTGAATCAGTAAAACATCACATTTCATCGAATAAGTTGCTTCTTAGTTTGATGTATTTATGCTGAATTAACCAAGAACCTGGTGTTAAACTAAACACGAGTCTCTGCAAGAGAGGAAACTTGTTTACAAGCTAATTAACCTTAAATTGTACCATTTTTGAAAGGGTTTTCTGTATGCAGACTCAAACCAGAGCTCAGTGGGCAAAGTGCAGGCTTCTGAGGGAATGTGAGCTGCACACAGCTATCATCTTATCCAGGACACACATGACTATGGGCACATCAACAGCCTCTATAGGGAGGTAAAATCAAAGCAGCTGCAGTACGCCGATCAGAAACTGTATATAAAGGTAATATAGGATCAGTAAATGCTGTAAAAACCTAAACTGAAATCCAACCTCAGCTGTTTACAGGACAAATACAGGAACAAAACCAGTTTCTGATGGACCACAATGCACTGCACTCGACTGGCAGAGGAGCTCTTGGCAGATTTCAAACATTGAACAGACCGAAAATAGCAGATATAAATGTCAGTAAGATTCTAAAGCATTAGAATGTGTTCAGGATGTAATGATTATAGATGTGTTTTTTTCTTTACTATTAACACTGATTGATCAGTGGACCAGCAGCCAATAAGAGGCTCCACTTTGAGCAATTTTTCTTAAATTGCATTTTTTCTCTTTCCTGTAAAGTGAAACGTGAGTAAATAATGAGTTTGTGTGAAAGCTGCAGGTGCACTCTGGGTAATGTAGGCAGCTTTTGTGATTGATTACCTCCCTCCCTTTGGCATCATTTCTGGGTATAAACTGATGACTTCACCGTTATTACCTGCACGGAGGCTGCTACGTCATGATGTCATCAGGAAAGGACGGTGATGTCACCTGTTTCTCCACTGATTGGATGTTTTATTACAGTTTTTGTCCTTTGGTCCCATTAAATCAGCAGAGTCGTCTTCTGTCTGACGACTGTATCTGGATCACTGTGATGCTGAAGGAAACTAAAAACAGACAGATGCTCAGGCAGCTTCTGGACTGTTTTATGGAAGTGTTAGAAATGCAGTTATTACACAAACATAGTAAACAGCAGCAGTTAGTTCGACCCTGTGCAGCATCACTTAAGTGTCACGTGAGTCTAAACTGTATCAGCTCTCAGTATCTTCACTATTCTTAAGTTGTGCATTTTCAGAAAAGAAACAATCAAAGACGAACACTTAAGAAACACTATATTGAAAATTCAGACCCCAAGGTATGAACTCAAAGCAGCCAAAGTGAATCCAGCTGTGACCACTGAAACTCAACATGAGCTGTGAAGAGCAGAACAGAGGAAGAGAAACATCTGACTGAGAGACCTGACAAAGATGGAAAAGGATCCAGGAACTAAAACCCAGCGCAGCCCAGTGTGAGCAGTAACCAGGAGGTCCAGAAGGAGCCATAGTAGCACTGATCAGGGCTGCAGTGGTCGTCCTCCTACAATGACTCCACGGACAGTCAACTACTGTCACTATGGAGCTGTGAACACCAGACAAAGGCAGCTGCTTCAGACTTGGCACAGGGCTTATCAGTGGAGACCAGAGTTAGTGTGAAGCTCACACACTTCAGAGCATCAACCTCTATGGACGGAGGACCAGAACTAAACCCTTTCAGCACAGAACATCCAGATAAAAGTTTGCTAAAGAACATGAACAGAAGCCCGATGGATGCTGGAGAACATTCTCTGGTCAGATGAAGATCAATGTGTTGGGCTCAGATGGAGTCCAGATGTTTGGTGTGAACCTGACCAGGACCACCACAGTGGATGCATGGTCCTGACAGTGAAGCACGGAGGTGGCAGCATCATGATATGGGGCTGCATGAGGGCAGAAGGTGTTGATGACGTTTATAGATGAATGTCTGAGGATAAACCAGAATACTGGCTGATGCCTCCCAGTCTGCAGAAGCTGGAAGAAGATAACCTTTGGTGTATCCAGAAGAGAAAGTTAGAGCAACATAACCCCTCCAGTAAAAAACAACTGGAGAAATGTGTGAACTCTGGTCCTTCATGCTGATGAGGATCGAGTCTGTCAACAGAAATAAATGTGGACATGTGAAGCACTGAAAAAGGGGAACTGACTCCTGCTGCATTGAGTTTTTACTGCGGCGTCTGTATTGTTAATATAGTACATCTAAACATCAACGCAAATGCTGTGCTGTTCTGCTCAGAAGTAATCAGATTACTGTAAAGGCGATGCAGTTTAGAAGAAGTGATGTTTGATGTGTATCAAGGTCGAGACCATTGGAGTTCTCTTATAGGCAGAATCCCAACGATTCTCAATGTGATCAACACAAAACACGAATTTAATTTAACAGTCTGAGAGGAGACAAATGAGGACAAGGTGTTAATTGTGGTTGTCCAGGTAACACTGACTCCTCCCCCTCCTCCTGCAGGTGTGGTGTTCACGAAGCACCCGTCCAATCAGACGGTGTCTCAGGGGAACGAGGTGAGGCTGGGCTGTGCTGTGGAGGGCGTCACGGAGCCCGAGATTACGTGGATGAAGGACGGGGAGAAGCTCTACAGCACCGACCAGGTGTTCCTCACTCTGGGAGAACAGCACTGGGAGACCTCGCACAGGTGCAGCTCCGCCCACACACAGTCAGTCAGTCAATCAATCAATCAATCAATCAATCAATCAATCAATCAATCAATGAGAGCCGACAGAACAGCTCCACGGCTTCCATCCATGCTCCCTGTTTCCTTGGATTCATTAAGTCAGTGATGGATGCTGTAGCAGCTGTTTGTTCAACACATTATAGAATATTGATCAATATGTTCCATCTGATTCCCTTAAACTAAAAGAATAACATTTACACGACCTGCGACACCTGGATGATCTACCTGGAGGTTACTGTGTCTAATCAACCAAAGGCTTTCCATTTGTTGTACTTCTCTCTACATTTTGTGAATTCAGCTTTAACGGATTTTCCAAAACACACAAACAACCGTTAAAACGAGCAGAGTGGTCAGGTTGTGTCTCCTTGTGGTTGTTTTGCGTCTCTTTGTGGTCATTGTGTGTCTTTTTGTGGTCATTTTGCATCTCTTTGATGTTGTCTTGTATCCGTCTGTGGTTATTTTGTGTCTAGTTTTTTTGCATCTCTTTGTGTTTATGTCTCTTTGTCGTCTTTTCGCGTCTCTTTGTGATTGTTTTATGTTTTTTTGTGATCGTTGTGTGTCTTTTTGTGGTCTTTTTGCATCTCTGTGGTTGTTTTGTGTCTGTCTGTAGTTGTTTTGCATCTTTTTGTGGTTATTTTCTGTCTAGTTTTTTTGCATCTCTTTGTGTTTGTGTCTCTGTCGTCTTTTTGCATCTTCTTGTGGTTGTTTTGTGTCTTTTTGTGGTAATTGTGTGTCTCTCTATGGTCATTTTGTGTCTTTTTGTGATTTTTTTTGCACCTTTCTGTTGTTGTTTTGTGCCTATTTCTGTTGGCCATTTGCAGCCTCTTAAATGTGAATATTTTCTGTTTTTTTTCCTCGTCTATGTCAGTAAACTAAATATTTTTGGACAAAACAAGACAGCTGTCATCTTTAGGACTCACCGATCCACATCTTTCACTATTTTTTGACATTTTAGAGACCAAACAACTCATCAATTAATCTGGAAAATAAATGTTTGCTTGGTTCAGAACAGCCGTAGCGACAGGTGAGTCATGTGAATATTTTAAGCTTTTCTTTATCATGTGTGACATTAAACTAAAACTGAAGATGTCACTTTGAAGCTGAAATTTGAAAGTGCATTTTTCTAAAACGTTATACTTCTGACAACAAAACATCAATAAACCATTTTGTCTATAAATTGGCTGGAAAATTATAAAAGAATGCTCATAAAAAATCTCCTGCAAACAAAAATCACATCTCCAGATGTCTCGTTTGGTCACAAACTGTGACGATTAATCTATTAGTTGTCAAATAATAATTTAATCACCAACTTTTTTGCCACTTTGTAGTTTTTAAAGCTTTTTAAAGTCTGCTCTCTGTTCGTCCTGACACACAGATTTAACCGTACGCTGATGATGCAGTGATTTACGCTGCTTCCATAGTTGTTAATGCAAAGAGCCATATTCCAACATGAGAAGCCAAATGTGATCAAAGGTGTTTGTTTGTTCTCCTCTGAACTGATAACTGATATTAGATACAAGCCTGAAGTGATTTAAATGTTGTATTATTTTGAGCTTATAAAACAACAGAATCAGGATTAGTTTTACTATGTGTCCTCTGTCTGCTTCCTGATGACGTTAAAACCACCATGAAGTCCGGCTGAGTTTCTGACTGGCAGTGTGTCTGCAGGTCGGTGTTTCTGTTGGTGTTTCTGCTGTTTGATGGTTAAACAGCGGATCAGGTGTAAATACAGGCGACGCTGCAGTTTGCTTTGAACACCGACTGACTGCTGCTCTTCCTCCTCTGACCGACTTCATCTTCCTCGCTCCTCCAAGGACACGTCAACGCTCGTTCAGAGGCTGAACCTTTATTCTGAAAGGGTTCTGGTTCCAGGTCATGTAGTAATCCAACGTGTCGCTGGTTCCAGTTCACTTTCTAGCTTTGGGTATTTCAGGTACCAGCGTGAATCTGTAATGTTCAGGTTCTAACAGTGTTTTTTTTTAAACATAATGGAGGGCAGAGCTGCAGTTCACAGGTTGACCTGATGGTGGCAGCGCTGTCTCTCTGCTCCAGTGTCTCAACTCAGACTCACTGATACAGAAGTTTGTCTGCTCAGCTTGTTGTCCCAGTCGCATGAAAGAGCAGGTTTCCGTTCTGTTGTTGTGGTTCCAGCACAGGCCCAGTATTCCATGTTCTGGTTGATGTTCTCATGTTCTGTGTTGTGCCTCTGGTCTCTCATGTTGTGATGTTTTGTGTTCTGTACTCTTGTTGCAGTCCGGGGTTCTGTATTCTGTGTCTTGGGTCTAGTTCTGATGTTCTGTGTTCTGATGTCCTAATGTGGTGCTCAGGGTGCAGTCCAGGCTCTGTGTTCTGGTTCCCAATGTGATGTTCCAAAGTTCTGATAGTCTGTGTTCTATTTCCAGTCTAGGTTCTGTATTCTGGCTCTAGTTCTGATGTTCTGGTTTCAGCCCAATTTCTGAAGTTCTGATGATCTGAGATGTGGTTCCAGCTGTGATGCTCTGTGGATCTGGTTTCAGTTTTGATGTTCTGTGTTCTCATTCCAGTCCAGATGCTGTACTCCGGTACCTGTTCTAGTTGTGATGTTCAGTGTTGCGGTCCTGGTTCCACTTCTTCCAATGTTCTGTTTTCTTATGTTCTACTTCTAGTTGTGATGTTCTACGTCATGGGTCCAAATCTAATGTTCTGTGTTGTGGTTCTGATACCAGTTCTGATGTTTTAGTGCCAGTTCAGAGATTCTGATGGTCTGCGTTGTGGTTCCAGTTGTGATGCTCTGGGTTGTGGATCTGGTTTCAGTTTTGATGTTCCGTGGTGTGGTTCCAGTCCAGATACTGTGCTCTGGTACCTTTTTTAATGTTCTGGTTCTAGTTCTGATGTTGTAGTTCTAGTTCCAATGTTCTATGTCATGGTTCCAAATCAAATGTTCTGTGTTGTGATGTTCTGTGTTGTGGTTCTGATACCAGTTCTGATGTTTTAGTGCCAGTTCTAACATTCTGCTGGTCCAGTTCTGTGTTCTGTGTTGCGTTTTCTGTTTCTGTTCAGATGTTCTGATGTTCTGTGTTGTGGTTCCAGTGTGAAGTCGGTGCAGCAGCAGGATGCGGGTCAGTACTGGTGTGAGGTGGAGTTCCATGGCCTGACGTTCTCCTCTGAGCGGGCCTGGATCACAGTGGAAGGTGAGACCCTGTTCCATCTGCTGGAGGACTCTACCTCCCATCATGCACCTCCCTCACTTGCTCTGTCTCCTGCAGGTGTTCCTCACTTTGTGCAGGAACCTCAGGACGTGGCGACGTTCCCCAATGCTCCCTTCAACCTCACCTGTGCAGCTGTCGGCCCTCCGGAGCCCGTCGAGGTTCTGTGGTGGCTGGGAGGAGTCCAGGAGGGAGAACCTCAACCGTCGCCATCCGTCCTCCACGTCTCAGGTCAGACAGAAGTCACACCTGGAACCAAACATACTGGGCAGGTGCATCATGGGAGATGTAGGATCCAGTGTTTGTGGACTGGAAGAGAGTTACTTCATATAAAATCAACAAATTAAAAAAAGTTCCTCCCAAACCTCCTCAGAACTACCTGGTTCTTTATCTGCAGTAACTTAACTACTGACCAGAGTTCTACCTTCAGACTGTGAATGTTCCAGAGTTCCAGGTCCTTGAAGTCCACAGAGGAGGGTCCAGATTGATCACTTTAATTGACTTTTTCCATAATTTCTGAGCCTCAGAACTTCATCAGTACAGCAGATGGACACATGACATTTAGGAGGAAGAACACATCTGGGTTCTGGTAGAACCTGACACCAGATCAGTTCTACATCCATCTGGGGCTCAGATTAATTTTCGGTTCATAATGGTGAAAAGGCCAAAAAGCATTTTACAGACCTGTAAGCGTAGTTAATGAACGTCATGTTGGACCAACTGTTGACATGAAGGTCATTTATACGAGTTATTTGGGTAATTTCTGTGTAATTTTGGACTGTTTTAGGTCAATTTGAACTATTTTATGGTCATTTTTTTACATGTTTAACTCAATTTTATTATGTTAGAAAACTGTTTGACCACAGAGTGAATCTTGTCTGTAGATGGTTCTGGTGTGTTCTGGAGGCAAAACGGTCCTTCCATCGTCTAGAACTGGTTCTGACCAACCACCATCACACATGCTGATATGAGCCTGGAAAGTTTACCCAGAATGCACTTTGTAAAGTTTCCTCTGGTGAATGATCAGAACCAGAACCACTGGTTACCACTTACATAAAATCTGTTGACGTGGCACAAGAATCGTCCAGAGTGGCTTCAACATGTGTCCAAAACGACTAGAAATGAGTCAGATTGATTCAAAGATTATAGATTAAAGTCACGCATGACGGAAACCAGATCCATTGTTCAGACTGAGACACCTGGATGGATGTAGAACTGATCTGGTGTCAGGTTCTACCAGAACCCAGATGTGTTCTTCCTCCTAAATGTCATGTGTCTATCTGCTGCACTGATGAAGTTCTGAGGCTCAGAAATGATGGAAAAAGTCCATTAAAGTGATGAATCTGGACCCTCCTCTATGGACTTCAAGGACCTGGAGCTCTGGTAGAAGGTAGAACTCTGGTCATTAGATGAAGTCACAGTAGAAGGATCAGGGCTGACAGGTTTCCATAGAATGAGCTGATTATTAATAATCACAGCTCCTGCTTGTTTTCCTCCGATCGATGCCTGAGTCACTCTGGAGTCAGTCAGGTTCTGCCGTTGCTTCATCGCCTCATTGTGTTGCGCTTGTGTTCGACACATTCTGCAGCTGTGACTCACACACATGTGAACGCTGGATTTAACACAAAGGTCAGAGCTGGCGGCGCTCAGGAATCAGGTCTCATGACTGAAGTGTAGCGAGATAAACACACGTAGAAATGCTGCACGCTGGCTTTATGTTTTTGTTGTGTCGCACAGTAAATGTCGACGTGAAGCTTCCCTTTTGTCGCAAATCAAATCACGACGTCGGTCAGAAAAATCACGTTTATTTTCCACAAATTGTTCAAGTTTCAACACATGCAGAGACAGATCTTCCTGCATATGTGAAAGACAGAGCAATTAATCAATTAGTTGTCGACAATTACATCAATCGTCAGCTATTTTGGTAATTTGTTAATCAGATTAAGTGTGTTTGTTTTTTTTTGTTTTTTTTTTAAATAAAACCGTCCTAATTAAATGATTGCAGCTTCTTAAATGTGATAAATGTGTTTTCTTTCCTCCTCTGTGACAGTTTTTTGTTTTTAATATATAATTTTCTGATATTTTAGAGGCCAAACAGCTGATCGATTAATCTAGAAAATAATCCACAAATAACTGTTGTAGTTGATTCTCTTTGTGGTCATTTTGTGGTTGTTTTGTGTCATTTTCTGATAGTTTTGTGTATTTTTTGTGCTTGTTCTCTGTATTCTTTGGGTCGTTTTTTTTTTTTTTTTGTGGTGGCTGGCTTTTTTTTTTCTTGCAGTATTTTCTGGTTTCCTTCTTACTCTTGACGGTAAACTGAACATCTTTGGACAAAGCTGACACACATTTCTGACTGTTTTCTTACCGAACAACTAGTCGATTAATTCGGGAAAAAATGTTTGATGGATAATTGTAGTTCTGTTGTGGTCTTTTTGTTTTTGGTTGTTTTACGTCTAATTTTGTTCTTTTTTTTACGTCTCTTTGTGGGTTTTATTGCGCCTCAGTTTGGTGGTTTTGCGTCTCTTTGTGGTTGTTTTGTGTCTTTTTGTGGTTGTTTTGGTTTCTGTGGTGGTTTTGTGTCTCTTCATGGTGGCTGATTGCAGTTTCTTACTTGTGATTATCTTAATAATAATCACAATCAGCTGCAGAACCACTGAGTCAGTGTGAACCTGGCCTCTCCTCTATAATACCAGCGGATCCACACGATTGTCCTTGAGTCACGAGTGCAGAGATTTACTGCACAGTCAGCAGCATTGATCGACGGGATGACATCAGTGGAGCTCTGGCTGCTGATTGGAGGATCCTGTTACACATCAGACAGTTACTGGAAACACATAAACACACACACACGCACACTGTCCTCAGTGAGCCGTGTCATCTTACCGGATGTTGTTTATTCAAGGGACACTCGGCTGTAAATCAATAAAACTTATCTCACGTATTGATCTGCATTCTGGGTCGCCTGCAGCTGTTTAAATCTCAGAGCCTACATCCCCCCACAATGCACCTGGGCCTCCTGACTCACACACAGCAAAGACACAGATGTGTAAAAACAAAGTGTCTCTCAAGAAGGGCGTCGAGGTTTAATGGAACAATCTGTAAGTGACCAATAACTAATCAATAGCTGTGTGTGTGTGTGTGCAGGTGTGAACATCAGCGTGAAGTTTTACTGCGAAGCGAAGAACGCCAGAGGAATCTCTGTGTCCAGAACCGGGACGGTCCACATCAAAGGTGAGTCTCTCAGACAGGAGCCTCGGTAAGCTGAGCTGTGATTGGAGGAAGACTCTGTGGGGGCGGGGCTTGTTCAACACTGTCTGTCTGTCTCAGTGTTGCCAGCGGCTCCGGTTAGCCTGCAGGTCCTCAGGATGGTGGACAACAACGTCACGCTGTCATGGCAACCAGGGTTCACAGGCCACTCCGAGCTGACCACCTGCATCGTCCAGGTAACGCTGATACATCTGATCTGTTTAACATTTAAAAACAACGACTTTATAAAGACTGTGTTGAAAACTCAGGCCCCAAAGTAAAAACTCAAAGCAACAGAAGTGAACCCAGCTGTGACCACTAAAACTGAACATGAACATGGTTCTACAATGAGCTGAGAACAGCAGAACCTTCTCAGTTCTGGACCTATGGACTGGGTCTATCTATGTCTGCATCACGGCTCCACATGGAGAAGACCTGAACAGAGCATCATGATATGGGGCTGCAGGAGGGCAGAAGGTGTTGATGACGTTTATAGATGCAGCTTGAATAGTATCGTTGGGCATTTCAGTGATTTTTGTCACTGCTGTTGTGTACTGTATGGCTACACAAACCTTAACCTCCTCCTCCTCCTTCCTCCTCAGGTGTCGAGGCGTTCATCCCGAAGGTGGGATCTTCCCCAGCAGGAGGTCCAGGTTCCTCCTCACCTCCACGTTCTGTCAGGTCTGAGGAGTCACTCCAACTACAGCATAAGAGTTTCCTGTGTGAACGAAGTTGGGGCGTCGCCGTTCTCTCCGTGGCTGCATTTCCTCACACTTGAGTCAGGTGAGACGCTGATGTTCAAAAAAATGACTGCAAAGAGACGCAAAGCTACCTCATATATAGAGGACCACAAAGAGATGCTAACTGACCACACAGACATACAAAACCACCACAAGGAGACACAAAATGACAACAAAGAGATGCAAAACAACCTTAACGAGACACGAATAGACAAAAATGACAACAGAGGACACATAATTACCACAAATAGACTCAGATTCAACCATAAAGAGACAAAAAATGACACAAAAGACTCAAAAACAACACAAAGAGCCTTAAGATGACTACAGTGGACATAAAACAACCACACAGAGATGCAGACAAATGACTCCCATCGGGACAGAAATGTTTAGAAGATAAAGGTTTATATTGATCTGCAGTGATTCTTCGTCCCACAGATCGTCTCACTGTGCCGTCAATGCTCAGATTGTTTTATTCTCTTGTTGAAGCCAGAGATGTTGAGAATATGGAGGACGACTTGTGATTTTCTCCATCTCTGTGGTTTCTGCTCTGTTGAACTCTCTGCCGTTCACCCATGTTTGTAACGAGAGTATCAGCGCTCAGCTGTAACATCCGTCTGGTGACTGTAGACGGCTGTTTTCAGTCGGATCACGTCCTGCAGAGACACTGAGCCGAGGAAGAGCTGCTGTTGTTCAGCACATATCGCAGCAGGGACGTTCATATGCAACTGTTAACCAATTATTTGCTGTCAATAATTCAACTGAATGAAAATATATTAAATGATAAACCCAGAAGATGTCAGAAAACATCCAGCTGTAGTTCCTGGTTGCTCCACCAGGTGGAGCCACCTTCTCTTTTTGAAGACTGCACTTAATTTGTGTTTAAGACTGTTGCCCAGAGCATTGTGGGCGTTAAGGCCTCGTCCACTTGTAGCAGCGTGTCCCACAAAACCAAGATATTTTTCTCCTGTCATCCACCCAAAAGCGCAGATTTACGTCATTAAAAACGATTCTTTCAAAAACCTCCGACCAAAGGGAAGATCTACGAATCCTCCGTTTATGCGTCTGTATATGGATGTCAGTAACCGGGTTTAGGTTTAGAAACGTCACTGCCTGCGACTAAATGTGTTCTTACGTCACATGTGCGACCTTGGAAGCAGCGTAGATGCCCTCAGACCTGTGCTGGTGTCGTCTCTGGTCCAGGCCCAGATACTGCTCCACGTACAGGAACACAGGAGAAGGATTAAAGACGGTTATTTTACCACGTCGAGAGACGGAAGCTTCCTCTGATTGGATAGGATGTGGGAAACTACTGCCACCTGAAGGTTTGGCAGCTTATGAATGTGCTTAACGACAAACTCATGCGGTAAGGTGTGGATGGATGTTTCTAAAAACGAGGTGGTGTGGAGGGGGAGGATATTGTGGATGAGGCCTAAACTAGCAATGGGCACCATGACAAAGACTTCTGTGGAGGTTAATGACCTCCAACCAGAGCTCATGAATAAAAGATCAGCTGAAATCTGTTCGGGCAGCATTTCTGATGATGAGTAGCCAATTAAATGGAGCTGCTTTAACAACATGTCCAAGATTAAAAATGGTCTAAATTAATGTCTACTAAACTTTATTCACTTTATGCGATTAACCAATTATGGACTAATAAATGCTGGTTAGGTTAATAGTCCCGTATTGCTCCAGACTTCTCTAATGCAGCTCCACATAGACACCAGTCACACTGATGAGTCCAATATTTACATTTCAGTGCAGCAAAAAATGTTCACAGTGAATTCCCAGCGTCACCTTTTGTGACCGTTTCTACACTCTGGATAGTTTCTAAACACAACATAAATGACTGTAAACAGGAGTGATCGGGATGATCTGGGACTTAAAGGCAGCGAAACGACACTCTTTGGTTTTATTGTCAGCAGAGTTGAATGTTGATGCTTTTGTTGCTGCCTGGTGCTGAAGTCCTGCAGGAATACGAGGCCACGAACCCGATATTTATTAAGCAAGTTTCTTGGGGACAGTCTGCGTTTTAATTCAGAAGATCAGCTGTGACAGTAAAGTTCTGCTCCAGCCAGGCTTCATGTTGCTGTTTTTTCATATTGCAGTGGTTAGCGTGGTGGGTCGGACGATGTGACGCTGAACTGCTGTAAAATCCTTCAAAACATTATTAATTTAAATGGTAACTGTAAAACATGCTGTAAACACTATTCATACCAAAAATCTGTGTTTTTAAAAGTGTTTTTCTTTAACAGTGTGTGACCTTAAAATCACTGTTTTACTGCATTTAAATCAGCAATAACATAAATATTTTTGCAAATATTTGCAGTTATATGAAAGAAAAATTATGTGGAATAAAGATGCAAACTGGTAAATCATTTTTCGATGCTTTGTTAAATTGCAAAAAAAATATCTAAGTATTAATTTCCACGTTGACTGTAAATAGAGCAAACACTGACAACTGTATTTAAATCAGCTAAAACTCATTATTTTACTGATAATTTAACATGATTTGGAAGAAAAATGATATATGTCGAGGATTCAAAAATGGTAAATCATTTTTCTAATTGTTATTTTACTGATTTTGCCTGCTTTTTTAAAAATACAGATAAAATATAGTAAAATCTTAGGATTTTTTACAAAATTTATTTGTTGACTGTGAAAGAAAACAGGCCAAAACTCTAAATAATGTCCACATATAAAAACATTTTAAAAAAAAAATATGAATTGGTTATTTTACAATGTGACACCGTGAAAAAAAACAATTATCATTATTTTATAGATATTTTCTGTTATTTTCTACACTTTTTGAACATCACAATATCCCACTGTTTCCTAATATATTAATTTAAATATATTAATAGCTAATATACAGTTTTTACTGTATTTTTTCCAGTGCAGTTGAAGCACCTGCATCCTCCGCTCATTTATTCAGGTTATTTCTTCCATTCTTCCTCCGTCTGTACGTATTGGACTCGACGTGTGAGCAGCTCGGCGACTCTCAGAGTTTTTACTGGACGTGTAGAAAGTGGTGACGAGTTTTTTCTACTGTTTCATCAGTAAACAGAGGAGCTGCTGGTTTCCTGCTTCACAGCTGAACTCTGAGGCTGTTTGTTTGTGTTTGTTCAGTGTGTGTGTGTGTGTGTGTGTGTGTGTGTGTGTGTGTGTGTNGAGAGTGTGTGTGTGTCCAGCTGGATCCGGTCCAGTAGATTCCAGTCCTCTCCGTACAATCAGCTTTTGTTTGTGGCCTAAATCCACATGAAAGGACTCGGCAGCGGCCTCTGCAGCGCCGCCTGCTGGAGCCGCGAGCTGCGAGCGTCCGGCGGCGCCTTCACATGCAGATCACACTGCAGCTCCGAACACACTCGGCCTCATTCACAGAGAACTGAGCTGAACCTGCAGCTTCAGGAGCGAAACACAGCAACAGAAACGAATCACAGTTTGGAGACGCATAGCAGAGGCAGAAAAAAAGATAATGTAAACAAACCCCAAAAAAAGCTATAATCATAATAATCCACATTATTTATCACGGTTGGAGCAGAATTAAACATTTCAGGACTGAAATGAGGGAAATATTGATGCTCTCAGCAGCATTTACAACATTAGCGAGGTCTGAAGAAACTTTTACTAAAAACAAAACAGCAGCAGCTTTTCTAAACTTCACATTTGTAGCTCATGAGCTGCATTTATATGATGTACATATCATACAAACACAGCGTTGCCACTGCTACCTAAACTCTCTGATTCTGTTCAAGGTTTACTTGTTTGTTATTTTGGACCCAAAGATAAAATATTTTGCTGAATTTTGAGAATTTCATTTGTTTTTAAAAATGCATTTTTTGGATTTTCATCCTAAAAAAAAAAAAAACAAAAAAACATCCTACCTGGGAAATTTTTGCCATTTTAGGGGTTTGTTATCTCCAGAAATAAAACTCCGACAACCATGAACTTTGCTGAGGATTCAGACAGAATAGATTCTAGCAGATTTAAATGACTGATGGCTCCAACATAGGCCCAGGTTTTAATACTGGCCTTTAAAAATTGAAAAGAAGTGCAAAAATTGTGGCACCAAAAACGTTCCAATACAGGTTTATATATGGGTGTGCGTCTACGGCTGAAAGTTGGTGAAGTTTTAACCAAAGACTGTATTTTTAGGATGAAATATGGATCCATCCATATATATAAACACTTGCAGGAACTTTCTGGGTCACAATACCACTACCAGTTAAGATATTCTGCACTCAACGAACTCAGCCTGTGTCCGCAGAACATTTCATGGTTGTGGGAGTTTTATTTCTGGATATATCGAACATTTAAAATCGCCCAACATTGTTTGAGTGTGAAAATAACAAATTCTGATGTCTGAAAACCATCATTTTTCCAGATAACAAATAACTAAACTCTGAACAAATCCTGAGACGATGCAGCAACATGTTTCTGCCTGAACTGAGCCTTTTGTTGACGATATTGTTTACATGGAAACATGCAGCAGATGTTAGCCTCCACCCAGCAGGGGGTGCTGCTGCTCTGTAACTGACCCAGACCATGTTGGTTCTGCCTGCAGTTCCCTCGGCGGCCCCCAGGAACCTGACCTTCGACCTGTCGGAGCAGCAGCTGGCTCTGAACTGGGCGAAGCTGCAGGACGACGAGCTGCAGGGGAAGCTGTTGGCCTACAAGGTGCAGTGGACTCTGGGAGGAGAAGCTCAGGTGAGACGGGCTGCACCGGAGTCCAGAGGAAGTGCTGACGTTGTTACCGCAACATAGGAAGCAGAAAGAAAATGGCTGCATGAATACGTACAAGTACAGCTTAAAGTATTAGACGTTTCTATTATTTGTGTTATTGAGGACAGATGAAGGAATCGGACCTTCATGTGGTACCATTTGGATCCTAATGAACTGGTCCCGGACTGTGTGGCTAACATGCTGTTGTGTGTATATGTGATGGTGTCTGCAGGAGCCGCTGCTGTTTAAGGAGAACTCTGCTCAGCTCTCAGGAGGAGGACGCTTCTTCAACGCCTCCTTCCAGGTGTCGGCCTGCACCGCGGTGGGCTGTGGACCCTGGAGCCCCCCGGTTCTGGTGCTGCCCGCCTCAGGTAGATCCCCTGACACTTCAAACAGACATCAGACGACCGCAAAAAGACTTGAAACGACTACAGACAAAACACACGCAAAACAACCAAAAAAAGAAGCAAAACAGCCGCAAAGATGCTAAAAGCAACAACAAAAAGATGCAAAACAACCTAAATAGACTCATAAAAGCCACAAAGACACACAAAATGACCACAAAGATACACAACACAATCACAAAACCATCACAAACAGACATGAAACGACTACAGAGATGCAAAACAAGCAAAAAAGATGCAAAGCCACTACAAAGACACTGAAAATAACAAAAAGATGCACAACAACCAAAATGGACTCAAAGCAGCCTCAAAGAAATGCAAAGTGAACACAGAGGCACAAGACAATCACAAAACCACCACAAACAGACATGAAACAACTACAGAGATGCAAAACAACAACAAATAGATGCAAAACAACCTAAATAGACTCAAAAAGCCACAAAGACACACAAAACAACCACAAAAAGACACAAAACAACTCCAAACAGATGCAAAACAACCACAAAGACACTGAAAACAACAACAAAAAGACACAAAATGACCAGAAAGAGTCACAAATAACTACAAAAAGTCATGAAACAACTACGAATGGATGCAAAACGACCACAAAGACACACCAAACTGTCATGGTTACCTGTTGATTATTGTCTGGATTAATCGATCAGTTGTTTGGTCTCTAAAATGGCAGAAAACATTAAAAAATGTAGATTGTTGTTTCCAAGATGAAAAAGTCTTGTTCTGTCCAAAGATGTTCAGTCGTAGAGGAGAAAAGAAACCAGAAAATATTCACATCGAAGAAGCTGAAATCGGACAAATTAGATTTTTAAATGGCTAATTTTACCACAAGAATGACTTTGACTAATTGATTGATTGAGTGATTGATTGATTGATCAGTCTGCCTCCCTGCTGGTCCCTCAGTGCAGCTCCAGGCCCAGCGGAGCCACATGTGGGTCGGGCTGCTGCTCGGCCTTCTGGTGGCCACCATCGTCGGCCTGCTGCTGACCGTCGTTGCTCAGCGTCGAGGGAAAGAAACACAGTTCGGGTACGAATGTTTGCTCAGACTCACACAGCTCAGATTGTATTGGTCTAATGTTGAGCCTAACATCAGCCCAGCAGTACAGAAATATTAGCCTCGCATTAGCCTAATATCAGCCTAATATCAGCCAGATAAAAGGGGAATGTTAGCCTAGGATCAGCCTAGCCTAAACCTAATATTATTTTATGATTGGTCTAGCATTAGCCTAGCCTCAGTCTAGCATTAGCCTAATATTAGCCTAATATCAGCCAGATAAAACGGGATATTAGCCTAGTATAAGCCTAGTCTAATCTTACTATTATCCTAATATTAGCCAGTAATCTGCGAATTATTTGTAATATTTGCCAAATAGTAGTCTAGCATCAGTCTGATATTATGCTAGCACTAGCCTAACTTAAGCCTAGTGTTAGCCTAGCATTAGCCTAATATTATGCAGGATGTCACTTGGTGTGTAGCATGTTGTGTGTTCAGTGTGTAACATGTTTGTTGTGTGTCTCCAGTTCGGCCTTCAAGAGTCCGGGTCCTGAGAGTTCAGTTTCCTTCACTGCAGCTCGATCCTTCAGCAGAAGTGCCGCTGATCAGGAGAACACCTGTAAGTCAAACACCTGAGTGTTGTCGTCAAACATGGCTGTTTGAGTGTTTGTGCAGTGTTCAGTGTGTGTCTGTGTGTCTCCCTCCAGTGGACAGTTTGGGCATCAACGATGAGCTGAAGAACAAACTGCAGGACGTCCTGATTCCAGAGAGGCTGCTGACGCTGGGACACATGCTGGGCAAAGGTAACAATAAAGTCCCAAACAGTTCAGAAATTGTCCAAAAACTCTTAATGATGGAATATTTACAAAATGAATATTAATAAATATATAAAAAAATTAAATAAAATATGTTAAGATTGCAAAAAAAGTAGAAGATGATAGGACATCAGTAATACATTAAATGTCAAAGAAATATTACAGAATATGTGAAAAAAAATCAGAGTAATATGTCTGAAGAATGAAAAAATGAATATTTAATGGAAAATTATTTGTAAAAGTCAATTAAAAGTAAAAAGTCTTGATGAAATATTTGAAATTTATGCCACAAATGTTCTAATTCATGACTAAAATGTCCAAAAGTAAAAATTAGAATTAAAGTTCATGTTGTGTTTACCTGTACAGGTGAGTTTGGGTCGGTGCGTGAGGCTTTCCTGAAGAGCGAAGACTCGTCCGTCCAGAAGGTGGCGGTCAAAGTGCTGAAATGTGAGTCAGATGTTGCTTCTTCTTCTTCTTCTTGGTGTTTGTGCAGCAGAAGCGTCGTACTAACGTCAGTGTGTCGCCTCCAGCTGACATCACCTCATCAGGAGACATCGAACAGTGTCTGAAGGAGGCGGCCTACATGAAGGACTTCCACCATCCCAACGTCATCCAGCTCATCGGTAACACATGCACACAGACACAGACACAGACACACACACACACACACACACACACACACACACAGGTCAACAACTTTGATTGACAGGCCGTCTCGTCCAATAGGAGTGAGTCTGCACCGGCGTCCGAGCCAGCGGCTGCCGATCCCGATGGTGGTTCTGCCGTTCATGAAGCACGGAGATCTTCACACCTTTCTGCTGCTGTCCAGGCTGGGAGATCAGCCATTTGTAAGTCAGGACATTCACCGGTCAGTAACCGATCAGCGTCAGTCCGATCAATACCTGACCTGCCGCCGTGTCTCCACCAGGACCTGTCGCTGCAGACCCTGGTCCAGTTCATGCTGGACATCTCTCGGGGGATGGAGTACCTGAGCAGCAGGAACATCATCCACAGAGACCTCGCCGCCCGAAACTGCATGTCAGTCCACCAATCAGAAAAAAGAACAGAATTACAACAATGGACAGTACTATTAGCCTAGCTTTAGCCTGTCCTTAACTTAATATTGGCCTAGCACTAGCCCCTCATTGCTCAAACATCAACCTTACATTAGCCTAACATTGGCATAGCATTAGCCTAAATGGCCAAATACTAGACCAGTATCAGCCAAGCAGTGGAGTAGCCTCAGCCGAGCAATAGCCTCTAATTGCGCTAACATCACCGTAACATTAGTCTGATATTAGCCTCATATTAGCCTAACAAGCATTAGCATGGCATTAGTCTTGTGTTAGCCTGGTATCAGACTAACCTGGGCCTAGTGTTTACATTAGCCAAACAGTAAAGAAGTATTAGCCTCACATCAGCCAGCATTAGCCTAGTATTAGTCTAACATCAGTGTAGCATTAGTCTATATTAGCCTAGCTTTTGCCTGTCCTTACCTTAATATTATTCTAGCATTAGCCTCTCAGTGCTCCAACATTAGCCTTACGTTAGCTTAACATTGGCGTAACATTAGCATAGCATTAGTCTAGTATTAGCCTTGTGTTAGTATGTCATCAGACCTGCTGCTCAGGTTTACACCTGGTCCACTCAGCTGTCAGGTTGTCACAGTTTTTGATTTTTCTTTGTGAAATTTTGCTTTCGAGACATCAGCCGTGTTAAACTAGAAAATAATTTCTAGATGTGAATGATATTTCTTACAGCGCCACCTGCAAGACCAACTGTAAAATGCAGGACAGTTTGTTCAGACTGTGGCCTGCAGAGGGCGCTGCTGGGTTTCCGTTATAACAAGGTGTGTTTGTGTGTGTGTGTTTCAGGCTTAACGAGAACATGACGGTGTGCGTTGCCGACTTCGGTTTGTCCAAGAAGATCTACAGCGGAGACTATTACCGCCAGGGTTCCGTCTCCAAGCTGCCCGTCAAGTGGATTGCTCTGGAGAGTCTGGCTGACAACGTCTATACAACGCAGAGTGACGTGGTAAACACACACACAACCACGTACAGACAGACGCACACCTGGTATCAGCGACTCAACACAGCTGGCTCCAGGTGATCTGGATCAGCACCAGCCAAAGTGCTCTGACTCAGATGTGTAACGGTATCAGGTATGGATCACATGTGTGTCTGTTTGTGTTTCAGTGGGCGTTTGGTGTGACGATGTGGGAGATCATGACTCGAGGTCAGACTCCGTATCCTGGAGTGGAAAACTCTGAGATCTACGAGTTCCTGATTAAAGGAGAGCGACTGAAGAAACCTGCAGACTGCAGAGACGACATGTGAGCCAACAATACATAAACGTCATCAACATATCATGATGCTGCCACCTCCATGCTTCACTGTCAGGACCATGCATCCACTGTGGTGGTCCTGGTCAGGTTCACACCAAACATCTGGACTCCATCTGAGCCCAACACATTGATCTCCATCTGACCAGAGAATGTTCTCCAGCATCCATCAGGCTTCTGTTCATGTTCTTTAGCCAAATTTAATCATAATGTTTTGTTCTTAGCAGAAAAGAAAGTCTTTATTTTTGTCTTTCGTCTATGCAGGTTAATGTTTTGAACTTCCCTTCAGACTGTGTTTGTGATCATTTTGCATGTTTTTGTGGTTGTTTTGTGTCACTTTTATCTATTTTGTCATCATTTTGTACCTCTTTGTGGTCGTTATGCATGCTTTTGCGGTCGGGCATTGATGGTGCATGTACAAACGTCATCAACACCTTCTGCCCTCATGCAGCCTCATATCATGATACTGCCACCTCTGTGCTTCACTGTCAGGACGATGCATCCACTGTGGTGGTCCTGGTTAGGGAGAGAATCTGAAACCACCATCTTCCACTTCCTCTTCGATTTTCATACATAAACTCATGATTTTTGATGCCACCCGATGCCTTGTGGGGGTGACGGAGGATCATCTAATTTTGTGGTTTTCAGATATGAGACAATGAATCCGGACGCCAACCAAGTATTGTTGTTTTGTGGTTTTTAAACATGATGTCATGAGTTTGACGCCTCCTATCTGTGATGAAGGAGGTCTAACCTTCTCCTCCTTCTTCTGTGGTTTTCAGATATGAGATCATGCACAGCTGCTGGAGTCCGGTCCCGAAGTGTCGTCCCAGTTTCCAGCACCTGGTCGGCCAGCTGGAGGCGCTGTGGCTCAGTCTGTCGCCTGCCCCGCCCTCCAAGGAGCCTTTACTGTACGTTAACCTGGAGGGGGATGAGGGGGAGTTGGGCCGGGGAGGCGGAGCGGTGGGACCCCGGGCTCCGGGGTCGGAGGAGGCGGCGGCTTCAAGCTGGAGCGTCCCCTGGCAGCGGCGGGAGGAGGACGAGGAGAAGGACTGGCTGATGGTGGGGTCGGGGGCGGCGCTCGCCATCGGGGGAGACTACAGGTACATCATCAGCCCAGGTGGACCCCCCGAGGAGGGGGAGGAGGGGGACGGTGCAGGGGGGAGGAGGAGGGAGTCGATGGACATGTTACAGGACGAGGTCAGGGACGACGAGGATGACGTCGTCATCAACGTCTGATCAATCACAGCGCTCCTCCTGCTCCCCTCACCTCATTGGACCAGAGTTCAGCCAGCTGATCACAAAGACGCTCAGTTACGTGGCGGCGCAGCAGCAGGCGAGTGGAGACAAACCGCCGGAACAGACCGACTCCATCACACAATCAGGACCAGTTGTCCCAGTTACCGAGCTGCACTGGTCCCACCTGCTGCCTCCTCACTGCCATCAGCCGATCGATTGATCAGCTGATCGACCAGCAACTGTCTTGGTATCTGATTATTAATTTTTCCAGGAAAAAACTCCGATATTTTCTGGTTTTAGACGCCAGAATTTTAATATTTTTAATGTGATGAAGTAAACTGAAGACTGTTTGTTGCCTCTAACCTCATTTCAACAGCGACCAATCACGACAGTAACCTGCAGATTAATCAATACTGGATTTATCTCCTGGAGTGAAGCAGTTTGAAGACGTCACTCTGGGTCTTTTGTACAGTTCACGGAAAATGATTGATTATTCATGAAATTGATCAGCAGATTGAAGCTTTGTGATTTGATACCACCAGGGGGCGTCGTCATGACGCTGAAACACAGGGTTTTAATTTCATTTTTACACTTTCCTGTTTTTGCATCAACAAATTAGTTAAAAACAAAGCTGCAAATTTTTAATTTTTAAGTTTTGGATTTCTGATCGATCGATTAATCGCCCCGGTGACGTCTCCAACCAAGAAAAGCAACAAACTCTCGATAAGTTTGAAACTTTTTTACTGTTTTCATTTTTAATTTGATTCTTCAAATGGTTTCCGTTTAGTTTTCTGTTAATCGGTTGATCGACTGGTTGTTGCGACCTCGTTGTCATATTTACTGTAAAACTTCTGTGTTCTCGGGGTTTGTTTGGTCATGTGATTCAAATGCACAACACCCATTGGCTGCTTGAAGTTGCTCCGCCCTCTGTTACCTGTGGCCCACGTTTGGGCCGCGAACCTCCAGTTTTGAACCACTGTGACTCTGAGTGTTGTGTGTCTGCTTGACCAGGTGTTTAGTTTCTCACAGGAACAGGTGACGCTCGTGTCTGGGCTGGAATGGTGACTCACCTGGTCGACAGGTGAACGGCAGCCGGACGCTGCTTACTCAACCTGCTGTAATAAACTGGTAATAAAGGTGACTTTGTGGATTTTTTCTCTGAAATTGCTCCCTCCTGACTCACCTGTCAGTCGCCGTCGGAACAGGGAGGCCGTTTTTAAAGCAGGACCGTCAGTGGAAGATGAAATCCTGACTGTTGGTTCTTAGTTTCTTTCGATGAAGCTGTTTTTGTTTTGCTGTTTGGGACATTTTACAGCCAGTTTCTGTTCTGACACTGGAAGACGTGGAGTCTGTCGGAGCTGCACAGTGAACGTTCAGCGTCCACATACTTTTGGTCACTTGTATATTTAAGAACGGTTTTGTGTTTCGCTCTGTGGAAATGTTTGGGGCTGTTTGGTGTGAATTCAGGACGAACACATGAAGCTGTGAGCACTGAAGCAGCAGCTCTGACGGTTTAACTGTGAATTTGTAGATTTGATGTTCGTTAACGCTGTAGCGGTCGACCTGCAACTAATTTTCACTGGTTATTTTCCGGATCGATCGATCAGCTGTTTGGTCTCTAAAGTGTCATAAAATTAATAAAAATGTCGATCAGAGTTTCCTCAGATGTCTCATTTAATCCAAAGACATTCAGTTTACTGTTACAGAGGAAAGAAAGTCGGAAATCTTCACATTTAAGAAGCTGCAATTTATTCTTTTAAACCGACATTAATTATTAAAACGGTCAATATTTGCGCACTGATTGATTTATCGCCGCAGCTCGTGACTGAACGAGACATCTGAGGACGTGGTTTTAGTCGGTGGGAGGTTTTTGTGGGCATTCTTTCATTGTTTTCTGACATTTTGTGGACAAAACGTTTCATCCGTTAAGTGAAACTCGACCACGCCGGAGCTGCAACTAACAATTACTTTCATTTTTGTTTCATGTGACGAACAGTTTTCTCTGTTTTTGTTTTTGCGACGAGTAAAAAGTGTGAAAATTCCTCTTTGTAAGTTCACATGTCCTGAGCTAACGTCTGTGGATTCAGTTTAACGTGATGTATGACAAAGATGTGATTAAAATCTTTACACGTAAGAAGCTGGAACCAGTAAATATTTGACTTTGTTCATTGATTATTTGATCATCAGAACAGTTGCTGGATTTTTGTCCAAAGCTGCATCCAGAGATTATTTTCTGGATCAATCGATTAGTTGTTTGGTCTCTAAAAGGTGAAAAATGTCAAACGTTTCGTCCACAACTCAAATATGTTCAGTTCACCGTCACAGAAGAGGAAAAAAATAGAAAATATTCATATTTTAGAATCTGGAATCAGAAAATTTAAACAGCTAACCCTAACCCTAACCCTAACCCTAACCCTTTTATTAAAAATTAATCAACCAGATTAATCAATATTATCAGAATAGCTGGAGATTAATTTAATGAATCAATAATTGGTTGCAGCTCTAATTACCTGCAGCACTTTAATTAACTCAGTCTGATGTGAAGCTGTTTCTGTGTTTCTGTTCAGCGATCGATCAGTTAATTGATCAGCTGATAATTGATTCATCTTTTCAGTCATTTCCAGGTGTGTTTTCTTTGAGCTGAATGTAAACCCGTCGGCACTCTGCCCCGTTTCTGATGTTTTATTGATCATTTGTTGATTGATTAACAGAACACTGGCTCTGAGTTATTGATTAGTTTGTGGGCGTTGTGTATTCTTACTGTTTCTGTGACTGACCTGCATCATGAACTCAGCTGAGAACAGAATCAGGACTGAAGTCGTGTGACGTTCTGCTTTGATAGAACCGATAATCATCTTCATTGATCGATATATCATCAATCTTCAGGACCAATATTGGATTTCAGCTGCTTCCTGCTTCATGAGGTGAATTTATGTGTTTTTTCTGGCAGTAAATGGAACATTTTGGTTCTGACAGAAGTCGAGCAGAACGTCTGAGCTTCACAGATTATTGACAAAAAGAAACGATTGATTGACAAACTAATCAGCAGATTGATTAACAGTGATCACAACTCTGCAGTTTGATACTTATGTTACATCACGAATCTGTTTGGTTGAAATCACTTTACACTCATTTAACAGCAGAAATGGTTTATTGATTGATTGATTGATATTGGTTACTGTTTATTTTAAACCGATTAGAGCTTCACGCACATTCGTGTGAATCTCAGTGACCTGAACGGTGAGTGTATTCAGACACCAGGATGATTTTACTTTGTGACGTTTCAGTCAATAGATCAATTATTCTGATGATCAATATGTCATCACCTGTACAGTCAGTATTTGTAGTTTTACGTCTCCTTATTGAGATGTTCCAGAGTTCTACACCATAAACCACGGATTAATTGGAACTCAGCTGATCGATCAGCTGTTGAATCTGAGGATCAATCAAACTTCGGTTCCAGCTTCATTCTCGTTCCACGTCAGAACCTGACACTGAGCTGCTCCTCCAAGCTGTCGGCTGGTTCTGGTTCTGAGGAGAACTTCAGCGGTTCTGCTTCCTGCTCTTCAGCTGTTTTTTCTTCCCGTGATGTCATATTGATCCATGTTGCTGATCAATACATCACATTTTTCTTTGATAATAATCAATTGATTTATGTTTAACACGTTGTGACGTCGTGTTTTGTTGCTCAACAGTAAAACACGTTGAGCTAATCAATATCAAAGTAAATCCTCTGTGATCGATCAATTGGCTGGAGGTTCCTGCTCGGTTCCTCAGTTATTGATTAGGCTGCGTATGGGGGGTCCCTTAGGGCCCTGACGAGGAGGAAGCGGCCCTGTGGATTCTGGTCGATCGATTATGGAATCGCTATCAATATTTCCTGCTGCTGTGGTCATACGTGTACAGAGAATTAACTTGAAGCTTCTGATCGATTATCGATGCGTTCGAGGACTGTGGGGCGTCGTATTGATCCTGTTGTGTGTCGTTAACGTCACACCTGTCGTCTTACCTGAGCGTGCTCATGAACAGTAATCAAAATGTTTGATCCATCGCTGATCTGAGGTCAGAGCTCCTGAAACATCATCAATCACCTCGACGACACCTTTTACCTCCAAATACTGAACAGGAGCCACCGGCACTTATCAGTTAATCAATAACCAGAAGATCAATCAATAATCAAACCTCAAAAAAGAAATAAGATTAACATGACAAATGAACTTAACTAATTTAAATAATGTGTTTAGGCACCTACAATGCTATTAATTATGCAAATTATTCAAGTTAATTATTCATCTTTCATCTCTACATTCATAATTATGCAAATTGCCCATATTAATATAAACACCCTATAATATCATTAGATATGCAAATCAACCTCCGTAATTTAAATATCAACACCTTCTAATATTATTAATTACATAAATATATCTGAATAATTAGGACCCTGCAGGAATATTAATTATGTAAATGAGGTGGACTAATTTAAATATTACTGTTTCAACCCTGTAACATGAACAATACAAACTGATCTCAGTAATTTAATTATTACAGCTGACGAATGTAACCGTTGAAGTCAGGGCCCTACGTTACTAAACGTCACCGTCGGGACCCTACAATGTGATTTACTACATAAACTAATTAAATATTCATGTTTGGACCCTACAATGTTGATATTTATAGAAATTTGCCACATAATTTCAATACAAAGTTAAGACTCTATAATATTATTAATTCTATAAACTGAGTCGACTAGTTTCGACGTCAGACCTTATAATCACGGTTAAACTTTACTTCCCAGGTAGCTCCTCCTCCTCCACCTGCCTCAGGTGTGTTGACTTTAATCAATAATCAGCTGCAGCTGCACATCGGTTCAACACAAGTGAAGCTACTCAGGTGAGCAGGAGGTGGAGTGGATTTATTGATCAGCTGGTTATTGATAGAAACCGACTCCGAACAGCAAAATAAAACGCAGGAAAGCCGCTTAAAAGTGATTTAAACAAAAACTCGTACACAGTTCAAATTCTAAAACACAGCAATCATGAAATTATATAAAAAATTGGTTTAAAATAAAAAATAAATATCGTAAACATAAGATTTCTATGAATAAGTTAGACTGACCAACGAGGAAATAAATCATGTTGTGATTATTTTTTTGACAGATTCGAGATTTGATTTTTATTAAAAATGAGAATTTTTGCGTTTATTTTTCACTTAAAAAAAAATGTTATTGAATAAAATAAATTTTAAACGATGGCGTTCCTTCACGTCTGCAGGTCGATGTGTCTCAGAGCTTCGTTTATGTTGTCAGACGTTTCACTTTTATCAAAAAAATGCAGTTTCTGTAGTTTGGATTTAACAAACAACTGCATCCGAATATTAATTCGATAAGTTGTTCGATCCTAAAATTGACAACACGCCAAAATTATTTTTAAGAAGTCGACATTATGACATACTATAAAGTTGAATCTACTGTAACGTTTATCAGGTTGTGTTTTACATGTAAACTCTGATGTGCAGTTTAAGCTCAGGTTTAGTTTTCAAGGTTTACTCCAGTGAGAATCCACTGAATGTGTGTCGAGTACCTGAAGTAAAAGTACTCAGTGTGCAGGAAAAGCAGGTCAAAGTGATGTTTAAAAGTAGATGAGGTCAGTTAAATGTTAAATCTGATTCCAGATTTATAATCAAAAATGGGTTTTAGGAGAATTTACTGTCACATAATTACATGTTTGAGATGTAAAATCTAATCGTGGTTGTCCTGCATTAAGTAGAAATAAGAAGCTGAAGAAAGAAAGAAACACGTCCAGACTGTAAACGCACTGCATCACTGTCACCAATCAATACATGTATTGATCTTTGGAGCTGAACATATTTTAATATCTAATATTGATCCAGCTTGGTTTTACCCTCAGCTCTGACTGACAGGTGAACAGACGCTCAGGTGGTTTAAACAGGAACAGAAGGAGACAAACGCCATCATCAGCCGCCATCTCCTGCACCTGATCAATAAGTATCGATCGACTGGTTTAGTAGTGAAGCCATCTGTCACACACACATACACACACTCCTGAGACTTGTCTTATATCTGACCTGGGCTCAGTGCACTTCAGGTGTGTTTACCTGCAGAAGACGAACTGACGGGATCGAATAACACCTGAACACACACACACACACACACAGGTCGACCGACTATCAGATTTGTTTATTATCTGGATCTTTTTTTTAACATTTTAAAACCATCCTCCTGTAAATCAACAATGAATAATGCATTAGCTGGGCTGTGATGTCGTCTCCCACGGCTCCAGCTGATTGGTTACACATCACACTAACAGCCAATCAGCACTAAAGGATAAATATTGAACCTTCTCTTCAAGGTAAACATGAATAAACATGAGGACATTTCAACCAATAAAAACAACCATTTGCAGCTCTGGTTTCAACTAATCGTAGCTACACTTTGTGATATTCTCGACTTTGACACCAACATTTTCATTTCTCAGCTCCAAACATAAATAATCAATAACTTTGATTGCTAATAATCAGTCTTAGTATCGGCCCTGGAAAACATATCGGTCGACCCTCTCACACACTCACACACACACTGAAGTGCTGGTACTGCATCGGTGACAACGCATGCGCATCAATCCGCGCCCCCGCGAAACACTCACGAACGCGCAGGCTGGATTTTAACAAAGCGGTAAACAAACTAACATCTGCTCATGATGTCTTCAGAGAATCCAGATGTTACTGTGAGCTTCAGCGGTCACAACCGGATCTTGATCCGCTCTGTCGGTCCGGTTCCGGTTCTGACCGACCGCTGGGTCAATAAATGAATTCATTATGAAGTAACACTACACTCAGCAGCGGTGCAGCCTGTGGTTCTTTTCTTTACCCGGTTTACTCTCCTTCGTTCCCCGCAGCAGCTCCGACATTAGCGCCCTTCAGAAACAACATGGCGCCGCCTAACATTCCCTCAACCAGCCGATAAACACCGACCGGGTTCGGTTACACTCGCCGTTACCTACGCGTTATTTAGCCGTCACTATCTGACCGAGTCCACGCTTTAAGTGCTTCCGTATTTCTGTCGGTTTTGACGGCTCAATGGCATTCCGTATCCCGGAGGTAGAGCCGATCCATCGGTGTCCGGAACCGGGCCATGGGCCCCCGGTGTCCGGGCAGCTTCACCCTCCGGTAAACTTCTAGCAGATGGAGGAGAACATGCGGAGCAGCAGCGGGTCGCATACGGCGGATCCTCCGGTGGATCCTCCGGTGCGTCCCCCGGTGTGTCCTCCGGTGTCTCCGGGACGGTTTGAACCAGGTGGCGGCAGTAAGATGGCGGCGGAGGCTGCGCAGTGCGGCAGGAGGAGGAGGGCGGTGACGTGACGGTGGAGGCTCCGCGTGCTGCTGCTTCCACCGTCAGACCACATCCACCGTTTGAACGGAAAACCAACGGAAACACCGACGGATTCGCGTCGCTCCGCCCGAACAGTCGATGATTCGGAGCGGGCAGAAGGTAATCCGGTACTGGAGCGCGGCGGAGGTTCGGTTCGGAGGGTCGGTGTGTGATGGCAGCCATCCGGGCTCAGGGTCAGGCCTGCTGCTAGCTAGCTGCTGCTCAGTCAGAACCACAGCTAGCTGATTTATCCACGGTCCGGCTCCCAGAGGGCAAAATATCCACACACCAAGGACTAGTAAAGGTTAATTTACAGAGTTAACTAGTTGTAGTTTCACCAGGTCAAGATGAGCAGCCGCTGGTTAGCAGGTTAGCAACGTTACTCCTGAAAACAGCAGTAATGTGGTTTAAATATATTACTGTAAATTCAGCTCAGTGGGAGAACAAAAGGCAGATGCATGCTGACTGGTAAAGGATAGGTTACTGGTTAAATAACTTGTATAACTACCTCAGTTTGACCAGGTCAGGTTAAAAGCCGCTGGTTAGCGGGTTAGCGTCATTATTACTGAAGACAACTGTAACAGAGTTTATCTACATTACTGTAGATCCATCTCACCGAGAAAACAAAGGGCGGACACAGACTGACTGGTAAAGGGTAATTTTCTGGGTAAATAACTGATTTAACTAGGTGAGTTTCACCAGGTTAGGTCAGCGGCTGCTAGTTAGCGTGTTAGCGTCATTACTACTGAAGACAACAATGATGTAGTTCATTTATATTCCTGCGGATTCAACTCAGTGAGAGATTAACAAGCAGACACAGTACTGACTGGTAAAGGTTAATTTACTGGTTAAATAACTGGTTTAACTGTCTGGGTTTTACAAGGTCACGGTAAAAGCCGCTGGTTAGCAGGTTAGCATCATTACTACCGAAGACAACACCAATGTCAGTTCAGCTCCGTACGAGAACAGCAGACTAACACACTACTGACTAGTAAAGGCTAATGTACTGGTTAAATAACTAACCAGGTTCCCTCAGGTCAGGATAAACAGTTGCTGGTCAGCAGGTTAGCATCACAGTAATGTAGTTTATCTACAGTTCAGCTTAGTGAGAGAACAACAGGCAGAGACACTACCGACTAGTAAAGGATGATTTACTGAGTCAGCTAACTGTAGTTTAATCAGGTCGGGTCAACAGCCGCCGGTTAGCAGGTTAGCATCATCATTACTGGGGAGAGTCATGTCAAATGAGCAGGGGACTGACTGTGAATGGTTCCTTTAGTTATGGTAAACTGGTCCTGAAACCAGAACAGGTAGTTAAACAAAAGACGTTGATAGTTAGTGAGTGTTCAGCTATGGAAAAACTATGGTGAGTTGTGGTTTCAGTCCTGAAACGGATGTTAATGTGCAGTAAATGTGATGTTCCTCAGTGTGTTCTTATAGGTTACTGCCAGTCTGTGTTTGTTTCTGACTCATTTGTTCTCACCATTTACCTAGCAGAGCAGTGTTCTTGATAAGCTGGAGCTCAACTGTATGAAAAGTTGTGGTTAAATGAGCAGATGACGCTGCGAGTCCTAAACCTGCCAAATGTTGAGTCGCTGTGTTCCAGTAAAAATCTGTTTCACATTTTGGTAAAATGAGCTACGAAATATCAGTAGACTCATCTTTAAAAACCTTAAATCGAACATCTCTGAAGCTGCAGAGACCTGGTCGGCTGCTACGCTGCAGCAGGTCTTTGTTCTCAGGTGTTCTGGTGGATTCTTTGGTTGATCGGCTCTCATCCGTCTCTGAGAGAAGATCTATCAACAGGATTAATCCATTATTTTATCAGCAGGAGAAGCAGACCACCTGTGAACATCCCCGTGTTTTCACAACTTTGAACTGGTCCAACCAGCTGATGGAGACTGTTTGGTGCGACTTATTTAATGAATGTTTGCTCAGAGTTGGCTCCAAACTCACTGACACCGTTTCAAAACGGTAACGCAACAGCCAAGAGACTGAAAATCTCTCCGAACAAACACCATGAGACACAAAATGGCGACAGAGAGAGATAAACAACTACAGTGACACACAAAAACAGGAAGAGATGCAAAATGAACACAGCTCAGTGAAACAGATGCTGATTCTATGCAAACACAACTCACCTATAGATATACAGAATGGCCAAAAGGGAGATTAAACCTGACTGAAAGAGATGCAAAACTAACGCAGACTGATGCAGACACCAAACCACCACAGAGACATGCAAAATTACTGAAAGCAAATACCAAGAGTCAGAAAACGCTGACAAAGAGATAAGGTACTACGACGACACAGAAATCCATAACCAGAGATGCAAAATCAACACGAACAGATTAAATCTGACTAAGAAAGACACAGAATGAACAAAAGCAGATGGAAAACAAAAGCAGACATAGGAACAACTGCAAAGGTACAGACTTTAACTAATTTACAAATACCAAGTGTCACAGAAAACTGAGCACAGAGACACAAAAACTACAATAATACAACCTAAAAAAATACGATTCCTTCTGGTCAGTGTCAGCCATTCAGCATTTTTTGTGTGAACTGTTTTGTGATGCAGAACGATGAAGTAAAGGGTCGCAGATGCCCAGTAAAGACTAATATGGACATCACAATACCTAAAGTTTGGTGGTTTTGTACTAACACCACAGAAACTTCACGATTCTTTCTGATAATAAAAACTAAATCAGTCAAACGAGTTGTTGGAACAATAACGATGAAGCTGTGTACAGTCGTGACTCGATAATTCGACCCTCAACAATCCTAAACCTGCTATCCGACAGGTTTTTAGGAAAAACGAACAGAACCCATAAAAACAGCCTTAACATAGTGACAGCCTTGGATTCTGACTCCAACATGACATTTTATGTCACCAATCAGGATAATGCCGTATTATCTGACTGAACAATCCCACAGATTGGCTACGTTCACACTGCAGGACTTGATACTCAATTTGGATTGTTTTGTGAAATCTGACTTTTTGTGACTTCGTTCACATTTCCAGTTAAATACGACTTGTATGTGATCTGCTGTGTGAACTTTATACGACCCAAAAGTGTCCCGCATGCGCAGAAGAGGACACAACGACGTTACATGCAGCGAGCGTGCTCAGTGTTTATGGAAGTAAACATGGATGATAACGGTGGAGCGTATCTGCCACTCCCCCGCCGCCACCGATGGTGGAAACAGAAGTGTGACCACTAACTAAACTAGCATCAGCAGCCAAGTACTGCCTGTGTGTTCTGGACACTTCCACCCCGTCAGAGCGCTGCCCCGGGGTGGAAGTGGCCGGAATGTGCACAATCTCACCGGTCAATGAGGTGTGAAATCCAGCGATGCGTAGTGTTCTAACAACACACTAGGTATTATAACAACTATAAACCATGAATATTAACAACAAATGAGCCTTCCAGCATCAAGCCCTCCTTGTATCTCGACCTCCGTCTTGACAATCCGACAGCCTTGCTATCTGACATATAAGAAGGTTTTACATTTAGTGTTGGACTATTGAGTCACGACTTTATGTTTATTTAACAACTGAAACTGAAGAGCTGTAAAGGGAGACGCTGTTGGATCTAGTTGAGGCTGTATGAGCTATGAAAACAAGGAAACCACACTCATGATGTACACTGGCTCTGGTGTTTTGCATTATGAACAAACTACATACAGTTACAGCCTATCACAGTGTGTTTCACATAAGAGTTATATTTGCACAAATCAAGTCAGACGAACAGTCACAGTTGTTGTGGTCTGTGCTGCTGTGATATGTAGTTACACTTCTACCTGCAGCGTATATTCAATGCAAAAGTATAAGTTTAGCCATTAATACTGCATTACCCATGAAGCTTTGCTCCTGTGGAGAAGCAGCCAAAGGTGGAAATTTAGACATCTTGTTGGCTGTGGTTGTAACCAAACGCTAAAGTTAGTACTGACAGAAACTGATTCTACAATTATCATCAACAACATAAAATTTACCATATAGGCCAACAAACCTCTATTGTTCTATTTCCCACATGCTCCCAGTCCAGTAACTACTATCTGTCGTTGCTAGGGACAGTAATGATTAACCATTAAGAGACTCTGGCTGTTTAATGAAATGAAAGACTGCAAGTAGTTTGCGTTTAATGCTGTAGTGACCCGCGGAGGCAGTTACTTGGACTGCAAGCAGTTCTGTTGATGAGGAGGGAGGATTGTTGGGGTTTAGCTGGGACAGGCCACCATGACAAAGACTTCTTTAATGGTTAATGGCTTCCAGCCAGAGCTTGTGCTGTCAGGACAAATCAAAGCTTACTGGTAAAGCAATTCTATCACAGAGAGGCTCTTGTCATATAACCACTCTTACGGCTAAAGTCATGTGTCTGTAATTAAACGTAGCTTATTATTTGATGATAACATTGTTTACAATTCGCATCCCTAGTTTGGTTCTGAGTGACAGTGGCAGTCGAACTGTTGGATCCTATGCTGCACCAGACACCAAAAGACTCAAAGGGACGACCAGAGTCTCTTTAGTAAATGTTCACACCACCTTGTACCAAGTTCCTGCAGTGGAGAGATGTCTTAGTTATTTTTAGGAACAGAACAGCTCCTCACATTTCACAGCTCTGTAGAATTGCTCTGTTATCTGAAGCTTTCTGTGGTGCTTTTTTGGACAACACTGACAGTAGCCATCAAATGCTGATTTATAACATGCAGAACACCAGCAGAATGGGCTTTGGCATGGTTTGCAGCAGCGGATAGTGACGCTTGATGTTCTTGTTTTTCAGGATGCTGTCTTGAACAAATGTATAAACAGCAGGATCCTCCTGGAACCTGTTCATGGCTCCTAAGAAGCAGAAGAGAGGCATGGTGTTCCATCAGGAAAGGGGATCTACCCCTGCAGTGGCACCTGCAGCCGAACACCCACCTGCACGCTCTGGTGCTTCGAGACCAGGGAGAGCAAGTGAAGGCGGAGTGGATCAAAGCAGCCATGTGACCAGTGAGGGGGCAGATATCAGGAGTAAACTCAACATGTCCCCGTCCCGGGAGGCTGTCAGGAGGACGAGCGGACTGAAGCCTCCTCAGTCCGACAACTTGTCGCCTGACAGCGTCTGTAGAGGCGTCCGAGTGACGCTGGACAACAACAGCATGTGGAATGAGTTCTACAGATGCAGGACAGAGATGATTCTGAATAAACAAGGCAGCAGGATGTTCCCCTACTGCCGCTTTCGCATCGCTGGGCTGCAGCCGAGTAAAAAGTACACTCTGATAATGGACATCCAGCCATTAGACAACAGCTGTTACAAGTGGACGGGCAACAGCTGGCAGATTGCTGGAAAAGCAGAGAGTCCTATAAAAAGCCAGCCATTCGCTCATCCAGAGTCCCCGGCAATGGGTCAACACTGGATGCAGAGTCCCGTGTCCTTTTACCGACTGAAACTCACTAACAATGGCTCGGACCAGGAGGGGAACACCATCCTGCATCCGATGCACCGCTACTTACCACGGCTGCACGTGGTGCAGACAGACAGAGCTGCTAAAGATGTAAAGCTGAACGGTCCCAGTGTTCTCACCTTTACTTTCCCACAGACTGAGTTCATGGCAGTCACTGCCTACCAGAACACTCGCTTTGCTCAGCTCAAAGTCGACTACAACCCGTTTGCTAAAGGCCTGAAGGAGGACGGATGCAATTCACGGAGCCTGAAGCTTAAAGCAAACTCTGGCAAAGAGCTGCACAAAGATGGAGGCACTCCAACCACCGAGCAGCATCCTGTGAAGAAGAGCTTGAAGTCATTGCTGGCAAACCATAAACCCAGAAGCTCCAATACAGCAGACTCAAGACCTTCAGATGTGCAGAAAAACCCCACTACAAACAAAGATCCGCCAGCTGCCAAGGCCCCTGGAGAAAGCTCATGGTAAGAGGTCCACTTTACAGTGAAAATGACGTCTTCAGTTTGTACTCAATGTCAGGTTTGAAAAAGAGCAGAAAGCCACATTTCCACCAAAATCTCCAAAATGTTCACCTCCAGGGACCAATGTCAGGAGCACTGTAAGGACCTAAAGGGTCCCTCAGTCTGGTATTTGTGTTTCCACCGCAGTCTAAATCTCTACAGAGAAGAGGCTCATTACTGAGCTGTTGGTGTGGTGAATGGGCACATTGTCTGTTTTAGGCATTTTGTTTGCCTTTGCAACCGTTGCATCTACTGTCTACTATTTGTCACTGTTTTGGTGCACTTGGAGTTATTGTCACAGTTGGCGTTGTTGGGTTCTACATTTAAATAGAAACAAAAGTCTGAAAGGACTGATTAAGGTTTCTGTTATTTAAACAGCACTTTTCATCTGCACTGACTTCTTACAGTGAAAAGCTGTCCATTCAGATATACAAGCCCTGCGCTGAAAGTTCCAGATTCTTCAGAAAGTTTGATATTCCTGAGCCGTGAATTTCCAGAGATAAACTTTCTTCTGGGCCTTTACTCAAAATTAAAAAAAAAAAAGAAAAAGAAGACTCAAGCAGTTTAGAAGTTGCTTTGGTCCTCTAAAGAGCTCAATCATTTGTTGAAATGAGTGCAGTGGAAACACAACGTTAACATCAAACATTAGCCGGATTGATGAAGGTTGTTGTAGAGATGTTAGTGTTGAATCGTTAATCGCTTAGCTGCTATTAATAATTTAAGTGATTTAAAATTAACTGATAGGACTGAAGAGTAGATTAGATGGAGTATCTGGTTGCACCAACTGGTGGAGCCTCTTGGTGTTTAATGAGATGGAAAACTGCAGTTTGTGTTAAATAATGTAGACACTTGAGAAGGCAGTCGCTCCAACTACTGTCAAGTCTGTTTTGGCAAGTGGAGAACATTTTGGGGTTTTAGCCAGTCACAAGCCACCATGACAAACACTTCTGTGTTGCCTCACAGACAGTGCTCCTGCAGTGCTGCACTTCATTTAACAACTGATTATTGAAAACTGTTGTGATTGGTTTCTGTGAGCATAAAGTTAAAACTTACTTGAGTTAAGTTGCAATCAGTGTATTAAAGTTTAGTTCAGGAGTATATAAGTGACATGATCAGTGATGCTTGTGCCTCTAATGTTGTCTTTTCTTGTTTGGTTTCCCCCAGCACCAGTAACTCACGTCCGGCTCAGAAGTTAATTTCTGAACTAATTCGTGAGGCACATGTTTCACTGCAGAGGTGCAACCTGGAGCAGCTGGGCATCAATCACAGCAGCTCTCTTACAGCAGAGCAAACTAACACTAAGCCCACAACCCTGAAAGGCAAAGGACAGGAGGTTCTTCAAAGGGACAATAAAGAACCTGCAGGGAAAACTGAAACTGATGTAACAAAGAAGAATGTGAAGGAGGATACGCACCTTTTGAATTCAGTGAAGTGTAAGGTCAATGTCCAGACAGACTGTAATAGTGCTGCTTCAGCAGGGTCCTCTAAGGACTCAGACCACCAACGTAATCCAGACACTCCATCACAGCAGACTACGAAGCCAGACAAACGGCCACCTCGGCTGCCTCTGCCGGCACTTGCTCTGTTTTTGAAGCAGCACTCGACGAAATCTAAAAAGGCCAAGAGCAAACTGGACTCTCCTCCCCCAGAGACCCACTCTGAACCTTTGTCTGAATCACTGAGTTCTGCTGCAGCCTCTGCATGTCTACCTTTGGATCCTGCCACAAATGCAATTGATCCCTTGAAGGATCTCAATGGCGATGTGACTAAACCCAACGCCCAGGCCTCCAGACATGCTGGTGCAGACCTGCATCTAGATGAAGTGGTTCTGAATGTTCATCAACCTTTAAGTCTGTTGTGTCCAGATACGGCTGCTGCTTCAGGTCCAGTGGGACCAAGAACTGATGATCAGTCAGCCTCCTTTTCTGAGAGTCCAGGCCTACAGCCGACAGTCCCTCACAGTACAGTGTTACCCAGCTCAGAGCAGCCATTTTCTTCCCTTGAGGAGTCTACATCCACCCTCTCCTCAACACTTGCTACCTCATCTGCATCTCCCCCTTTGTCCCCACCCCTGGACACAGTGTTACCTGTCCCAAACTCACCACAAACACCACCTGAGTCTTCAACACTACCTTCAGACTCCCCTACCTTGAAGTCTGAATCTTTCCTTCCTGACCCAGAGTGTTCGTCTTTCGGTTTTGAGCCTTTGTCTCCTACGAGTTCTCCAGAACCTTTACCTCCCCTGCCGGCCTCGTTAGCTTTAGAACTCGACACAACGTCTTCTGAAGCAGCTTGTACAGCAGAACCTCCTGAAGACTCACCGCCAAGCAAAGACTCATCTGTATTTAAATGGCATACAGTGTTACCTCTCCCTGAACCGTATTTAGATGCTCCCTTCACAACATTTCAGCCCACATCGGAGACTCTTCCTTTAGAGCATGTTACACCACCTTTGTTGCCTTCAGAGACTCCCTCGCACCCTGAACCACATAGTCTGAACACTTCCACACCTCCACAGGGTCCTCCTCCATCATTTCAGGAGAGCGAACAGTCGCTACCTTTTCCTGCAGAGCTGTCCCCCCTCGCCCTCCAGCTGCCGCTGTCCCCAACCTTCTCCTCATTAGGCGGAGAGGGACTGTCGCCCACGCCTTCAATTGCAGACCTTGTGCACTTTTTCTCCACCGATGATGACCTTGGGATGGGAGTAGAGTTTTCAAATACAGAGGCAGTGGCTGTTCCCTGCCCGCCTCCACCTGCAGTAGAAGCACAAGAGCCTTCTCAGCAGGTGCAGCCAGTCCCAGTCAACAAACCCTACAAGCGCAAGAAGACCCGGCGGCGAAAGCAGCCCAAGACCAGTCTGAATGAGAAGACGGATGACACCACCTACAGGAGTATGCAGCCTAACCTGGAGGAGGTTGAGGAGCAATTATTTATCTCATTCACATCAAAGGTAAAATAAAGTTTATTCTGCAAGGATTTATATGCAGCATTTTCTGTGTTTTTAAATAAACTTCATTGATAATGTCGTGATGCAATACCTGCATACGAAACTCCCATATATGTGTCAGAAGGTGCTTAGACTGGAAAGATCAGTCCACAGAGATTCCCTCCACAAATCCTTAAATTCATTCCACCGGTGGTAAAATGTTTTCTTCGACTGCATCCTGGATTATCGGTCTGTTTTCCACTGCAGAAACCTGCACATCATTGTAGGGCCACTTGAACATTTGCATGGGTTCTGACCACAAGAGCCTTCCCTGTAGAACCTCTTTCAGGGTCAGGGTAGAAAAAGGTCCCTGCTAAAAACTTGCTTTATGTGTTCCTATGCTCATTGGTTAAATTTGGAGAGGACAACAATCTTCTTGAACGTCATGGTTTTGGTGCCCTCAGCGTTAATGTTGCTGTCAAAGCTGTAGGATCCTACATTGCAATGGAAATAGAAATGATCGAATAGGGTGCTGTTCTGTAAACCCAACTTTTTGCCTGCACTGAGGTCTTGCAGTGAAAAGCTTTCCTTTCAGATGTACAAGCTCTGCCCTGAAAGTTCCTGATTCTTCAGAAAGTTCTGTATTCCTGAGCAGTGAATTTCCAGGGATAAACTTTCTTCTGGGCCTTTCCTAAAAATTCTGACTCCTCTGGTGGATCCAAAAGTTATTCTTAGTCCCTGGTGAAAGTTCCTGCAGTTGAAAGGTTGCTCAAGAACAGATTTAACGCGTTAATGGTGCTGTCAAAGCTGTCAGATCCTACGGAAATAGAAAGGCTGTAATGACCGATGAATAGACTGCCCCTGTTGACGCCACCGTATGGCTGCGCTGAGTTCCTGCAGTGGAAAGTTGCCTGTTGTACCACAAACTACAACCACTAGAACCTGTTTGCAGTCGCAGGTTTTTAGACATGCCAATGCTGCAGAAAGCCCAACAGTAAGAGAAGTTCAGCGCTGGAAACTCCACCCTAAACCTTCAGGTATGACTCCCTCTGAACAGGCTTTGGTTCCTCCAGAGGAAGTGCTGCTAGAAGAACCAAGCTGCTCACAGGGTTCCTATTCTCCGGGCAATGTTCTTGATGTGGAAAGTGACTAAAACCTGCACTTTCCACTGCAGGAACGTGCAGGCCATTTTTGGGCAACCCCTAGCCTTTGTGCATATTCTGACCAAAGGAACTACCCCCATGGAACCTCTTTAAAGACTACTCTTGGGAAATAAGAAGTACCTCCGTAGGAGGACATCAAGCACCATTTTTTTCTGCCCTCTTGATGTTCTTGTCCAGCAGCAATCTTCTCCTTGTTAACATTAAACTAGACAGCATAAAATGTGCCACTTAGGCTAACATAACAACGCCTTCCTGTTCTATTTCCTGCATAGAACTGGAGTTACGTCCAGTCTCTACTATTTTTGTCATTGTTTTGGTACACTCTAAACTGACGTCAGAGTTGGAGCTGTTGGATCCTACACTGGAATGGAAATAGAAATGCTGAAAGATCCGATTACGGGACCCACCCGGTAAACGCAACCTCTTGGCTGCCTTGAGTTCCTGCAGTGAAAAGCTGCCTACTGCTGCCACAAGCAAAAGGTTGAACTTGAGATTTATTTGGGAGTGGCATCCATTTACAAACACAAAGAAAGAAAAGGGACGTACTAGGGTTTATAGTTAAATGGCAGATTGAATTCACTAGACCTGTCTGGTGGTTAAATTAGATTAATAATGAGGGTATGCTTTATACTGGAGGGCCACCTTCGGACCACAGGCCACCGTTTGCCTACCACAGGTGTTGGAGCCTTGGTAACACCTACAGGTGTGATCTTACCTGATTGTTACTGATGATGTATTTGACAAAGACAATAAAACTTGTGTTTCAGGAGGCCCTCAAACTCCACACAGTGGACTCCTCTGACGGGCCCGGCACTCAGCCTCAGACCACATCGGAAAGTCCACAAGCAGCTGACACACCTGAGAAAGGTAATGACTTTATTACGTTTTATTAAAGCCACAAGAAGCCCATTTTGTTTACCACGGGTCACATTAGAAGCTGAGTGAGTTTGTGCTGACGTTCTCTCAGATGTTGTGATGGATGTTTCTCAGTTTTGTGATAATTGACTGACCAAACAATGAATTCAGCTCTATGTTTAAACCCTCAGCAGAGTGTCTGGACGAGACGATTGCTGCCTTCCAGAAGAATCTGCTGAATGACCTGAAGCTGATGAAGCACAGGCAGGTTATCCACCCTGTGCTGCAGGAAGGTACGTATCTCCTGTTGTGAGCTGGCAGGACTCTAGAAGTTCACTCTGAGTTAACTTTCCCCCTTGTGTTGGTTGTTCTTGATGAACCCAGTCGGTCTGAAGATGACGCTGCTGGATCCGACTCTGGCTATCGACCTGCAGTACCTGGGGGTCCGTCTGCCCATCCCCCCTCCAGGAGTCAGCCTGGAGCCGCTGACCCAGGAGCTGCAGTCCAGTCAAGGTGAGCAGCTTTGCAGCCTATCGTCTGCTGCTGCATCTGTTGGAAACATCTGAAGATCAGATTGCAGGTTCAGGGAATTATAGTGCAGGGAAATTAAGCAGAAATTAGATTTTTTTTTTTTAAAAATGTCTTTATATGCACTTTAGTAACATTTAGAGTTTTAAACTAGCCTCCAAAAGCTGTCAGACTAGGTCCAGTTCAACAGAAGTATGGATCCTAACAGTTTATTGACACTGAAAAACATTCTTCAGGATATTCACTCTTAGTTCTGTTATTTTCAGGTGTTTCAGCAGCTTTTGTGTCCAGAACAGGAAAAACTACAGACGTGACTCAAATTAAAGGCTGGAGAGATAAATTCAGTCCGTCGGAGGCTCCGTCCACCCCTGCATCCTCCAGACCTGAAGGTGAGCTTTCTTTTGCTCTTCTTCAGTGTGCTTTGGTCACGTCACACATGAAACCTTCAAGAACTGTTGGAAAGCTGAAGATCTGATCTATCTTTCTTTTACAGTTTTAACTGATAAATTGTGTCTTTTTGATTACTTTTTTATTCGACAACATGTATTTCAGACCCACTGGTAGGTTTTGGGGTCCAGAGGACTAACTAGTCTTTGTGTTGTCCTGCAGCTGGTCCCAGTTCCGAACCACAGAAGAAGAATTTGTCGGCGTTCTGCAGCGACATGCTTGACGAGTATCTGGAGAACGAAGGGAAACTGATCGACGAACGAGCCGCCAGCTTCTCTCAGCCGCCAGTGGAGCCGCTGGTGTACGAGCTGCCGACCAGGAGCACCAGCTACGTCCGGACGCTGGACCACATCCTGAAGAAGCAGAACACTGGTTCCCCTGCAGCAGACCTCATATCTGGGTTCATCCCCCCCTCAAAGAGACCCCGACTCACCGAGACTAAAGCTGGCAGGACGTTGGAGAGGAAACCGAGAGGTCAGAAACTGAACAAACCCAGAGCAGAACCTTTCGAACCTGCTCCAGGTGAATCTGGTCCCCCATCAGCCAACACTGCCGAACCGACCCTGAAGAAGAGGAGGAAACTCAAACTGAAGACCACATCTCGGACCCTCAGCCCCTCCAGGTCCACGGGCCTATTAAAGGACCTGGCGCCGCTGGAGTCGGACTCTGAGCTCGGCCAGAAGGAAGACACCGGCAGGAAGGAGCGGCGGCCCCTGATGACCCGGGCCCTGCTCAGGCAGAAGGACCTGGAGGACAGCGTGATATGGGAGGGTCGACCTCGGACCGGCATCACCGAGCAGAGGGCCACCGTCGCCCTGACGTCCCTCTTCACCCTGACGGTGAGCAGGACAGCTGTCGATTAGTCTTTTGATTATTTACTGGATTAATCGTGTTAATATGTCAGAAGCTGAAGTTCACAATCACAAACATCTTGCTTCATCCACAATCCAAAGATGTTCAGTTTACTGTCATAGAGGAGGAAAGAAACCAGAAAACATTCACAAACTGCGATAATCAACCAGAGAGACACAGAACAACTACAGGGATTATCTCTGGAACATTTTCTGCTTTGGTGTTCTCTAAAGTGTCAGAAAAAGGTGAAGAATGAGGATCAGCATTAACAACATCAGTTTACTGTCATAGAGGAGGAAAGAAACCAGAAAACGTTCACATTCCAGAAGCTGCAATCACAGTCTTTGTTTGAAATGTACTTCAGCTGATTAACTGATTGTCCAAATAGTTGAGAGTTAATGTAATAGTTGACAACTAAATGAGTAATCAGTGAGCTGTTGCACCTCTGACAGTGAGAATCCTCATGTGACTGTTATCTTACTGCTGATACAGAAAACCAGCGATTAATCAGTGGACAGAAGATCAGTCAGTAAAAGGTGATCAGGTAGAAATAACCCTGCAGCTCCTCCTACACCTGCGTGTTAACATGTTTTCACACAAATATTCACTGTATGAGTTAAAGAAAAGCAAAAAATGTCAGATTTTTTTTTTTGTTTTGCAGAAGTTGACAAAACCCCTGACTCGGTTATGAAAGTAGTCGCCTAATTGTTGATTCAGTTGATTGTTTTAGTTCTAGATTTAGTCAGTAAGTTTAAATTTAGGTCCTCCGCTGCATCGCCGTGTTTTATAATAAGAACTGAAATGCTTTTTGTCTCCTGTGCATCAAAATATGAATATATAGAATTTTTCCCTGAGAAGGATGCAGAGTTTCTGAGCCCTGAGTTTTGTCTGAAGGTGTTTCTGTCAGCCTTCAGACAGTATAAAGGGTTAAATTCAGTTGGAATTTAAACTATTTCGGTCGGCATTACATGTTCAGTTTTCAAATCTTCGATGCGTTTTGGGTCCATAGCTAACAGTTGCCATGGTTACGGGTTTGTTTCTGACATTATAAAAACTGAAAGGTCAAAAGCCTTCAAGCGAGTTAATCTGCAGCAGAACCACCAGATGCAGCACTGAGGAGCTGTGAAGACTGATGCTCTTCTTCTCTCGTCCCTCCTCAGGGTTTTGTTAGCGAGAACCCGACGGCGCCCATCGAGTTGGTTCGGAGAAGAGCGCCCCCTCCCTGTCTGAACGAGTTCTGCCGGCTGGGCTGCGTCTGCTCCAGTTTGTCCCACTGCTCCAGGATCAGCCACTGCGGCCGCCTCTCCTGCATGTTCGGCTGCAGCTGCCTCAAACAGAAGGTCGTCCTTCTCAAGAACCTGGATGGGTCCGACTGCAGCCCCCCCTCCCACCAGCTCCACAACAAGAGGAGGAAGAGGAGGAGAATGAAGATGGCCTACAGTAAGTCTGAGTCTGAAGGTCAACAAATTATAGATCTGATCTAAGACCAGCTGCTGTTTGCGTGGCAAAACAAACCAGCATTTGTTTGAAGATTAAAATTAAAGGTGAAAAATAATATTAAAATGTCAGAGACATTTTTAAATATAAAGAAAATATATAAATATTAATAAAATACCAGAAAAAAATATGAAATGTCTGAATAATATAGAACCATAAGAAAATATCTTTTAAAAAAATCCCAAAAGTGTGTGAAAAATATGAACAAAATAATCACATTTCTGAAAAAATATGCAGTCTGAAAATAAATTAAGAGGTCTACAAATGTATTATTTAAATGTACAAAAATTATTAGCAAAAGTCTGAAAAATATAAATAAATTATCCAAAAAATATTATAATGTCTGAAATATATCAGTATTATTTTTTTTTTAATTCTGGTAAAAATCTAAAAAATATCCATAAAATATCAGAAAAAAAATCTGTAAAATGTCTAAAAAGTATCTGTGAGATGTTTTTTAAAAGCTGATAAATGTTTGGAAACTATAAATATATGTCTGAAACATATCAGTAAAATATAAAATGAAAATCAGAAAAATTTCAATAAAATGTCTGAAAAATGTATTAAAGCGACAGCAAGATATCAGCAAAATATCAAATCAAAATCTTGAAAGAAAACAAAGAAATGTCTAAAAAATATTATCAAAATGTCTCATAAATGTTTAAAATAATATCAGTGAAATATTAAAGACAAATCAATAAAATGTCTGATGAAAGTAAAAATAATAAGTGCTAGATAAATATAAGCTGAAGTAAAAGCACTTCCTCTCCTCTAACTGCTGTGTTGGACTTGTTAGTCCTGAAGGAGGCGGACAGCGTTTCCCAGCCGGCCCAGCGAGTCCGGACTCTGTGGGGGAGGGACTGTGGAGACTCAGATCCGGAGGGAGTCCACGTCCCTAAAGCCGCCCCTCAGCCCAGCTCCACTGTAAGGACTCTGGTGAGTACAGATAACAAGACACCGAGTGGCTGCTCTGCAAAAAATATATGCTGAAGTTTCTGGTGGTTCTGATGTTTTCAGGAGGGCAGAGAGAACCGAAGCAGCTGCGCCAGAGTCCGAGCCTTCAGGAGAAAGATCAAGAAACAGAAGGTGGGAGGCGCTTAAAGCAGACAACATTGATGCAAACAAGCTCGGCTGATTCTGTCTGAACATGTCAAACATCAAGCGGGGTTACTGTTAATCCGGAACATTCTACAAAAAGTAAATTCACAAAAAAACAGATGTCTATCAGAGGGGCTTGTCGCTATAAACCATGCATACTGGACTCCTGATAAAAACAACAGCCAAAGGTATAAAATCACATGAGTTTTATGGGGAAGCACGGTGGTGGCAGCATCATGATGTGAGAATCTTCTCAGCAGCAGCCTGGAAGGCTTGTAAAGGTAGAGGGTGAATGAATGCAGCAAAGTGTAGAGAAATCCTGGAGGACAACCTGATGCAATCTGCAGGAGAACTGAGACTGAAACAGCCAAAGCTCCACAGAAATGGTTTGAAGACAACAAGGTGAAGTTCTGGAGGCCCAGTCAGAGTCCAGACCTCAGTACAACTGAGAATTAGTGTCTGAAAGTTCTGTTCCCTCATGATCCCTGTGGAACCTGACTGAATTTGATGAGTTTTACAAAGAAAAAAAAAAAGAGGTAACATTGCAGCATCTAGATGTTCAGGCTAATTAAAACCAACAGGATCGATGCTGTATCTCCAGCTGAAGGTGCATCTACTCAATACTGACTTGAAGGTGGTGAACACTTTTGCAGTCACTTATTTTCTGTTTTTATATGTTTCATTAATTGACCTTATCTTAAAGAAATTAGAAGTTAGTTTTTCACTTTGACATTTTCAAAAACCCAGTATTAAATTTACCATAATTCAAAGCTGAAAAGCACTGAGTGGAGGAAATTTCCGAGGGTGGAACTATTTTTTTAAAGGTACTGTATTAACAGATCTGCTCAGACTGAGATCTGAGGTTGTCCCATTCCTCGTCCCTGGGGAACACCACAGTTGACCAGCTGTGTCATGTTTGTCCACCAGGAGGCATCTAAAGACGTGAACTGTAAACCTGCTCGGCTGACGTCTCTGAAACAGAGAAACTTGACCCTGAAGGAGACCGAGACCAGAACCTCCCGTCCTCCTCCAGGTGGGTTCATGTCCAGCTCCTCCTATGTCAAACTGTCCTTCTTCTTCTTCTCATGTTGCTGATGAAGCTTTGTCCCGTCTCTTTGGCAGGTGAAGCAGTCCAGACGCCTCCTGAAGAGCCTCCTGCGAGTCCCTCAGAGGATCCGATCCCGAAGCCATCAAAGCGTCTGTTCATTGTGGCCGACTGTAAATGGGAGACCAGCGCCGATCAGAGCCATGTGTTGAAGCAGCTGTGTGAAGCGATGGCTCAGGACCGGCTGGACCGGCCGTTCAAGATCCGGAAGTACCTCGTCAGCCCCGTCAGTCAGACCGTAGAGGGGGACGGCGCCGACCAATGCATCCAGTACAAGGTTCGCATCTCCAGAGTCAAACCAGAGCAGGAGAAATCAGAAGCACCAGTCAAACCTGTCGCATCCACAAAACCTGCAGGACCAGTAAAACCAGCAGTACCAGTAAAACCAGCTGCTCCAAGAACCCAAAGAAAAATGAAAGCTGCTCAAAAAAAACAGGTGAGCAGGAATTGAAATGCTGTTTAAACTCTGAACCTGTACTGAGCATCTGTTCTGATAATGAGCCCGTCATCAACACCATTTTAATAAGCTGCTGCTCTATGTAGTGCCACTTACATGTCGTATGATTCTAAACTGGGTCGCTTTACATGAATCTGATTACTGTAAGTGTAAATGTCTTAATTAAACAGGCTTTAGATTGTATCCAGTGTCAACATGTTGCTGAAAACTGCTCAAACCTCTGAGTGTTTTTGTTTGAACACATCTCGTATTTTTATGCAGGATGACCTGAGACAGGCACCTCTGGAGGACTGGCAGCAGGAAGTGATGGAGGAGGTGGAGCCTCTGGAGGTCTGGCAACAGGAAGTGGTGGAGGAGGCGGAGCCCCTGGAGGACTGGCAGCGGGAGGTGGAGGAAGGAGACATTGATGAGGAGGAGGTCAGCACTCTTCAGCAGGTGAATGACAGGAAGAGGAGTTCAAAGAGCAGAATAAGGATGGTGCCCGACACGGCTTTGCCTTTCCTGACGGGAATCTCCCCCGCCGGCTTCCTCTCAGCCAATAAGAAGCAGCCGGGAGGCACAGACCACCCGATTCAGGTGAGAACACCATGTATGGCAGTGACGGCTGGTTTTCTATACATGTAAGATGACTAAATTATCTATATTCAGTGTCAGCTGCACCTCATGATCTTTGTCAGTAGGTGGAGTTTGAAAAGAGGACAATGATTCCCACGACAGCTGAACAACCGCCTCCTACTAATACAGAACTTATATGAACTTCACAGAAACATTTCATTCAGACAAACCTTGAACTGCTTTCAGTTTTTGCTTGTGAAAAGTAAGTCAGACTCAGATACTTCTGATGATCAAGAGTGGAGCTGCAGAGATACTGCGGCTTCATTTCTCTCATGTCTTCAGTTTCAGACGTTCCCTGTTTACCCACCTGTTAAACTCCGCCCTCTGCTCTCCTGCAGGTGAACGGGAAGCTCTATCCTCTGGCAAAGATCCAGTTGGGAAAAATGGGGGCGTTGCATCCAGCGAATCGTCTGGCCGCCTACCTGACGGGTCGGGTCGGGTCCAGCAGGCAGCAACAGGCTTCTCCATCTTTGTCCCCCTGTAAACCCCCTCTGAGGTCGGCACCGACCTCCTCTTCCTCCTCCTCCTCCTCCTCTGCCGTCGCCTCCACCTCCACCACTCCGCCCACATCACAGCCACCAGTCACATCACTCATCATCCCAACCTCCTCCACAGGTGAGTAGACAGCATCCTTAACTCCTTTATTTTCTATTATTATTTTCTGTCAATAAAGCGGTAAATACATTCTGTATCGGAAATTTTAAATAACTTGCTTCTGTAAATACATCGATAAAGAACCACATTTCTCGGTGTGTCAGAAAAGTTCCAGGACTGGTGTCACAAAAGATATATTTCAAACCCAAATGAGGAGTTTTCTTCTTCAAAGTAATCGCCCTGGAGTATATAGCGGGGATCTCAGCTCTCTGCAGCCATTGAACTTTTTCCCTGCCGAGCGATGACCAGAAGGATCGACGCATGCAAGTGTGTCGGGACATCCTCGAGTGTCTTGAAACCGGACCAGACTCGCTAGGGAGAGTCATCACCGGTGATGAGTTGTGGATCTTCGAGTACGACCCAGAGACCCAACGGCAAAGCCTTCAGTGGAAGCATCCGACATCGCCAAGGCCGAAGACAGCAAGACAGTCCAAGTCCAAAGTCAAAGTCATGTTGATCGCATTCTTCGATGTGGGGGGCATCGTCCACTGAGTCCTGGCCACAGGGCCAGACGATCAACCAACACATCTACAAAGAGATCCTGCAGCGTTTGTGTCGTTCAGTGCATGAGAGTTGTGGCAGGACGAGTTGTGGCTGCTTTACCATGACAACATGCCTGCTCACAACGCCCTGAGCATCCGGCAGCTCCTGGCTGAAAAGAACATCTCTGTGCTGGAGCAACCTCCCTACTCACCCCACCTGGCTCCGTGGGATTGGTTCCTCTTCCCAAAGCTCACGAGGGGTCATCAAGGGGACCTGTTTAGAAGACGTGGACGACACAAAGATGGCTGTGAAAACGGAGCTGAGAGGATCCTGGAAGAATCCTTCCAGGAGTGCATGGTGGCGTGAAGTGAAGGCTGGAGAAGTGTGTTAGACTCCAGGGGGATTAATACGGAGGGAAAACTGGTAGATTGTAGTTTGGATTTGAAATATATCTTTTGTGACACCAGTCCTGGAACTTTTCTGACACACCTCTTATGTATTTTAAAATCATCTTTGTATAAATACCTTGTGTTTATATAAATAACTGTATAAATAACTCATGTTTCCATAGATAAATGTAAACCAGTGAACCGTGTGTGTCGTGTGTTCAGCCTCTCAGCCCAGCAGCCCGGTGGTCCCACCTGTAAATCCATCCCCAGGCTCGGCGCCTCCTAAAACTCCTCAGTTCCTGATGGTTCATGTCGCAGGTCCAATGGGGCAGCTCCCCCCCCAGGTGCCAGCCACCTCCCCCACCGGTCAGAAGCTGGTTCTGCAGCCGGTCCAGACGGCGTCAGGCCTTCAGTATTACCGTCGACCAGACGGGAAGCTGGTCCAACTGGTTCCACTCAACCAGGTGAAACCAGTCGGTAGAAATCCATCTGCTCAGAAAGGTACGTCTGCACACCTGTTCAGAGTTTACTTATTACTTTTCTTGGACCCAAAACTAAGTTCTGTAAAATATTCTGCAAAATTTTGAGAATTTCGTGTTTTCAGACCTCGTAAGTTATGTATTTTCACATTTAAAAAAATATGTTTACCTTTTAAGCCACTTTGAGGATTCAGTAGTTCCCAGCAGATTTAAATGATGAAATGGATCAAGCAGACGATGTATTTTTAACGATTGGCCTCTGAAAATAAGGTGCAACATTTTCAAAGCAGGGAGGTGTTGGTACCCCAGGAGTTCCTGTAAGTGTCTATATATGGATTGATTCATATTTCCTACAAAAAATGAAAATTTTGGTCGACATTTCAGGAACTTTTGAGGCTCTAACCTCAGTAGAATTTGATGGGGAATTAATATGGCAGGACAAGGTTTCAGTTTTTTGCTATTTTGACAAAATGTTCATGTGGACTCACTGGTAGGAAACAAAATCTGGTATTTACTGGTTCTATATGTTGTCATTACATGTGCAAAGTTACAAGCTGCTTCCGTGTTGTCTTCATGTTGAAATTTAACAACATTATATAACAAACTTCCATAGCTTGTAGTCAGTATTAGTCAGAGGCTCTCGTACGGAGCCTTGTGGTTCACCAACATCACAGAAAATACAAGATTCACAGAATGTGAAGCAGAGATTAGAGATCCATCTGAATGTTATCTTCACGCTCTGGTTCTGCTGTAAAATGATCCAATGGCCAGAAATTGACTCCTCCCCCTCTCTGACTCCCACCCAGGTCCTTCCTCCCCCTCCATCCTCCTTCCTGCATCTCCTCAAACTCCAGCTGTTATTACTATCAGCCAACAAACTCCACCTGTGACTACCGTGACCTCCTCCTCATCCTCCTCTTCCTCCTTCTCTGTCAACACCCTCGCCCCCCTCCCCCCAGGATCTGATTTCCTGTCTCAGAAGGGCCCCTGTACCTTTAAACTCCTCCCCTCCCGCAGGGATCCCCTCATTATCCCCGGTAAAGGTTCCTCCCAGCAGCCCGCCACGGTGGTGACGCCTTCGGGTTCCTTCACCATCCTCCAGCCTCCACCCTCCACCTCTTCCGCCGCCCCCGTCACCCTGATCTCCCTCAAACCCTCGTCGGGTCGGGGGGCAGAGCCGGGGGTGAAGACGGTGAAGGTGTCGGCGATGCCGCTCGCTCCGGGACTGGTGGTGGTCCGACAGAAAACTGTTCCGCCTCAAAACTTTGACTCAAAGACTGCTGACAAACGTCCAGTGCCACCTCCGCCTCCTCCGACAGATGCCACACCTGCTTTACCTCCACCTGGAGCATCAGAGGTCACGCTTCCACCGAACCCCCCGGCTGACGGGTTGAGGCCTGAACCGGAGCTCGCCTGTGACCTGGTGGACCTGGACATCATCTGTGTGGACGACGATATGGGACTGGATACCGCTACGATGCAGCCGGCAGACGTGGTGGAGCTGGTGTCGAGCAGCGAGACGGACAACTCGTCGGACTGCAGAGAGTCAGACAGCGAAGAGGAGAGTCAGCCGCCGAAGAGCAACCAGGTGACACCTGAGTTTTTCCTGAATCCTGTCGCTGTTGTCTTCCGTGCACTAAGACGGTTCTACAATTTCATTCAGCAGACACTTTTATCCAAAGTGACGTACATCTGAGAGTAGATACAACACAAGCAAGGATGTAGTGAGGAGAAAACAACCTGGATAAGTGCAATAGAACAACATTTATTCGATTATTTATTTTTGCACTCAAACACTTCAAAATGAGGTGAAACTTCCAAAATTACAGGAAGCTTGTTTAAAATGCCTCAAAATTCTAAACCAGTTTTACCTCCTGCAGAGTGAAGCTGCTGCTGACGTTTGTTTGTTTGTTGATGCAGCGTCTGATGCACAAAACGCTGGAGCGGGAGCGTCGGGGGAAGCTGCGGCAGCTGTTCGATGCACTGAGGAGACAGACTGGACTGAGCGACTCGAGGACGTCAAAGATCTGCACACTGAACACGGTGAGAAACCAGCTCATGCACCGACGCTGTTTGTTTGTTTGTTTGTTTTTTCTGGAGACTAACAGGAGCTGTTGTGTTTGTTTGGAGGCGGTGGAGGTCATAGAGGAGCTCCAGACGATTGAGACGGAGCTGGAGAAGAAGAAGCGGATGCTGAGGAAGAGGAGGGACGAATATTTGTCGAGGCTCGCTCCGTCATCAGGTCAGAACAGAAACTTGTCACCAGACGTAAACCTGAGAGATGAAGCTGTAAGCAGTCAAAAGCAGTAAGAAAACTGATAGAAGATAAAGAACCAGCTGATTCTGAGGAGGTCAGCGGGGAGCTTTCTTCATTTTTGGTCTATTTTATCTGGAATGACCCTCCTTTATCCGTTTTTATTTATTTATATGTACTTTAAATTCTCTGTGTGCTTTTCATTATTGCGTTAACATTACAGTTACCAGCTGTGTCTGTGATAAATATGCCCACTGTTTGTGTTTACTTTCTGACAACAGACCAGACTGAAGCCGACTCCATCGAGGTTGTGGATGTGCTGGACGACACGATCAAAATCTCATCTGAAGAAGAGATTGATGTAAGAAATTCAAACAGCTCCTCACAGAGTCAGAAGGCCAAACAGAGTTCTACCTTCATACTGTGAATATTCCAGAGCTCCAGGTCCTTGAAGTCCACAGAGGAGGGTCCAGGTTTATCACTTTAATGGACTTTTCCCATCATTTCTGAGCCTCAGAACTTCATCAGTACAGCAGATAGACACATGACATTTAGGAGGAAGAACACATCTGAGTTCTGGTAGAACCTGACACCAGATCAGTTCTACATCCATCCAGGTGTCACAGTCGAAAGAATAAATTAGGTTTTGGAGCACTTTTTCTACAGCCAACTTTGAGCATGAATATTATGGGATGTATCACAAGGGGCATAAAGCAATCAAAATGTCACACTAAAGGACAAAGAGGAGATGCAAAACAAGAAAAACGAGGAACAAAACAGGAGAAGAGATGCAAAATGGCAATAACAACAACAAAAAAATGACCACAACAAGAAACAAACTGTCGCAAAGACTCAAAACAGATGCAAAATGACAAAAGGGAGAAGAAACAACAGAAAACAGGAACAAAACAAGAAACCAGTTCTACATCCATCCAGGTGTCTCAGTCTGAACACTGGACCTGGTTCTGTTCACGTCCTCTGTCAGCAGCTGGTAGCATCAGTATTATGGGATGTCTCATAGTGGTACCAGTTTAATGTCTATGAAATAGAGTCATAGGAACAATCATTGGTACCCTGGATGTGGTTCTGGTTCTGATCATTCACCAGAGAAAACTTTACAAAGTGCATTCTGGGTAAACTTTCCAGGCTCATATCAGCATGTGTGATGGTGGTTGGTCAAAACAAGTTCTAGACAATGGAAGGACCATTTTACCTCCAGAACATACCAGAACCATCTGTAGACAGGATTCACTCTGAGGGGAAATGATCTTCTTATATAGTCATAATTTATCACTCGAAAGATGTGAAAATCTGTTAGCTGAAGGAAATCAAACCAACATTATATCAAAGTGTTACAGTTCAGTCTAGTGGCAGCACAGCATGTTGAAGTGCTGCAGAGTGCCACTTAAATCTGTTCAGACAGATGAATCTCTGAGTTTAGGGGAGATATTTAGATCAGCGTGTGCTCATGTGTATAATATTGAGTGAACAAGGATGTTTACAACATGTGCGGAGGTTTGCGTTACAAGTTTACCTCACGTTGAAGTCACGAGCAACAAGCCCAGTCCTGAAAACCATGAAGTCATGGAAGTAGTGTTTTCCTAACTGGTCGTTATGAAGCTGTGGAGCTCAGCAGGAGCCAATAAGTCAGTCTGAGGGTGTAATTTAAAGAGTCGACACCTAACGAACAGAAACAGGCCGACAGAACCAGAACTGAACACTGTCAGAGGAGAACCTGAAAGACTCTCAGACAGGCTCTGAGTGCTGATGAATCAGTGAGATTAGGGAAATGGTGGAAAAAGTAAATTGAAATACGCTAAATTTGTACCCACCTTTATGTGCTTAAAGGGCCTGTATCTCAGAAACATTCCTAGCATGAAGGTAAAACGTAGCATGGCTTCATTAAATACACTGAAGGTATTCTACCTCATGAATCAGGTCATTCTGAGGCAGTTCTGGAGATTTTTTAAATCATTTTGTATCATATTAAGCTCACCTGAGGTGACTCTGTGTTTGTAACAGGTGGAGGAAGGATGTTGGGGCGTTTCCAAGGAGAGGAACCGGCCGTGGATGACGAGGAGGAGATCAGAGTAAGAAGAAGAAAGACTGATGAGGGTCATGATCTGAACCAGACAAACTCTCATGATTATCAGCAGCTTGTAGAAGCTACAAATATGTGAAACTAGAAGTTGATCGGAGCTGCTGTTCATTCTACGCCAAATTATGGAAACTAACGAGCTCGTGTCAGGGATTTTCTCACAGATATTAACATAAAAACTTCTATTACGTTTATTGGATCTTTTTTTCGTCACCTCAGAGCTGAATTTAATCCTGTCTGCAGCTCTTCAGTTTGATCTTCTACATTTTTATACATCTTCAGAGAATATTAGCACTTTGGAACAAATAAAACAAATAGTTTGAAGGAATTTTAAAAAGTTCTTATTGGGAAAATGTATTTAACAATCTATGTGGCAGGCAGTTTATTACATAGGACCAAATAACTTGTAGATCTGATAAAACTATATTAAAACTACACAAAATAAACGCTTTTGGCTGCATCAGTGAAAACTAATGGTCATATTAATGTTTGACAACTGAAGGTTCTTCGTTTGGGTTAACTGTAGATAGTGTCAGTCCAGTATATAATAAGCAACCCACATGAGAGACAGAAAATTCAGAAAAATTTGGGTTTGTCCTGAAATTTGGTTCACTGCTGGACAAGAAGTTTGAGAATTTAGAATTGAAATAGTTTTATAAAATCAGATTTTAGCAGATTTGAAAGAAAATAAAAACATTGTCATGCAGATACAAACAATCAGCAAGTTGTGCTTTATGCTAAAGGTAATGGTATGACTCAGGCTCTGTGGTGTTTACAGCAGAAGCTGTTCACCTTCAATGTAAAATCGGCTTTCTGACATGTTCTCTGGTTGTTTCCAGGGCGGACGAGACGACCGGAGCCACAATCTTTCCAAAGAAGCTGCAGCTGCATCAGGTACAGCCAGCAAACTGCTCATCAGTTCACCGTAAAACTGACTCAGCACCGAAAAACACCCTGACACGGAGGTCACATCAAATCTGAACACCAGACAAGACAGTTCAGAACTTCACTGAGAATCTGTCTGTTTTTAGGTTTCCTTCAGTAGCACATGAATCCAGTCAGGTTTATCTGTACGTCCTGATAGCCTGCAAACAGGAAACTCACTGACGGTTCTGCTGCTTTAAAGAGCATTTCGGCTAAATTTAACAAATGCAGGCTGATGAAACAGAGTCGTACCGCTCAGAAAGAACAAATAATCAGAAATGTCAGTTTTTATTTCTATGATGTTTGTGTGTTTTAGGCTCGTCAGGAGATCCAGACTCTGAAGAGCACGATGGAGGAACTGAAGAGTCTGAAGACGAGTCTGAAGCAGCAAAAAGACGCACAGAGTTCAGGTGAGAAACCAGGTGAGAAACCAGGTGAGGGTGTTTCTATAAGCTAAACCTTCCTGCAGGACGTCACACCGTAAAGTATTGGCAGCTTCTAATGTTGCTGGAAAACAAATTATGTTGACAGAAATTACATGCTGGTGAGCAGCCAGAACAGCGACCAGAAAGGTCATAACTGTGACCGCTCACCTGTAGGCGAAGCTCTAACCTGCCTGTATGTGTGACTGCAGGTAAGACTGAGCAGAGATCAGCCAATCAGCTGCCAGCAGGAGACACGATCGACGAGGACGTCACAGGCACATTGTTTGACGTACAGCCTCCACAAGCTCCTCCCACCCGTGTTTCTGCCCTGCCCACTCCTACACCTGCCCAGCCTCCGTTGGTCGCACAGGTGTTGACGTCCGTCCCGCCTCGTCCTGCTGCATCCCACAATGCACCTGTGCAGAGAGACCGGCCGAGGACGATTCCCAACATCCTGTCTCGCAGGAAGAGTCGTCCTCCACCACCGCAGAGCACGACAACTGAAGAGGGTAAGACTTAACTAACCAACTAACCAGCCAACTAGCTGACTTACTGACTGACTGACTGACCCACCCACTGGTGGACTTCGTCACACACTCACTCAGTTAACTGACTGACTAAATACCTATCTAATTGTAGACCAGTTACTTAGTTAGCTGCTGATACACTGATTAATACACTGATCTACTCACAGACCTGGTCAACTAGTTACCTAGTTAGCTGGCTAATTGACTGAGTAGCTGACCTAACTGAAACATTTAGTCAGTCAGTTACCAAGTTAGCCGACTGTATAACAACTTAACTAACCTACTGTTTGACATAGCCAACCAGTTACCTGGTTAACTGACTCACTAACTACCTACTTTATAATAGATTCACTGATACTTAGCTAGCTGTTTGACTGACTGACTGACTAACTAGTGATCTGTCAGTCAGTTAATAAAGAGTTAATTAGTTAAATTTGTTTTAAATATTTGGGTTGACAGTTAATGTTTTGGTTTATCAATAAACTAGTTCAAAGTATTTTACCTGTTAGCTGCTGGTTAGTTGTCGGTCAGTGTTGTCGATGAGTTTATGAACTGACTGGTCCTTCTGCAGTCCATCCTCCAGTTGAACCTCCATCCTTCCAGGCTCTGCTCCCGGCGGAGGTCCTGTCTCTGGTCCGGGCATCGTTACCAGGTCAGCAGGTCCTGGCGCTGAGCCCAGTGATGACGGAACCGACGGTGCTGCAGTCCGCTCAGAGACCAGGTACTAACTAACCACTGATCCTCCGTTCACTGCTGCCCCCGGCTGTCGTTGTCAAAGTAACATGAGACTCTTCTGTGTAGGCGTGGCCTCCGTCACCCTGAACATCCCCAACCTGCCCAATCAGCAGCTGCACCTCACCTCACTGCCCCGCCCACCAACCAGTAAGATCTACAGCAGCCCCGCGCCGCTCACCGTCACTAACCTCACAGGTAGCTAATCAGCCTACGAGACTTCTAAATACAATACAGAACATATCGTTGAGTTTTACCTGATCGGGTTTTTGTTTTACCTTTGATCCAATTGAGTCATTTAATGTTTAGTATCTGAAAGCAACAAACACATTTCAAATGTTGTAGGTCAGCTGTAGTACCTGGCTGTTCCACCAGAGGAGGCGTCACTCAGACTACAGTCATGGTGGCAGCAGAGAGCACTGTGGGAGTTTAGCAGCCACAGGACCTAGAGGAGGTTCATGACCTCCAACCAGAACTCAGGAGTTGAATTTCATTCAGGACCAACTAGAACAGTGTTTCTGTCACAGTGACATGTACAGCAGAGCTGTGTTTATAGCCCTCATGTGTGTGTGGACTGAAACAGGACAGTCCATATAAGACTAACATCTGCTGAGCTTAATTTTAATTTTATATGTTAGTAATTATTGATTGACGATGCTGCTTTTATGAAGGAAATAATCAAAAGCGTGCATCCCTGCCTTGATCAGCCCTGATCTGTGAGATCGGATCGAGTCATCTTTGTTGTTTGCAACTTATTTTGTTTGTTTAGAAAAACATCAGCTGATCGTGACTGTTTTTATTTACAGCCACAGACTTCAGCAACATGCTGCACCTGGCTCAGCCTGCAATCACAGAACAACAACAACAACAGACAGACAAACAACAAACACAACAACAACAGACCCATCCTGTGGACCTTCAGCTGGTCTCAGTTGGATCAGACCGGATCCCGGATCAGGTCCGGCCTCCATCGCAGGCCGAGCTCAGACCTTCGTCCTTTCCGTCTCTGAGCGCCGATCGTCAGTCACAGGAAAAGGGGACGGAGCCTCCAGAGATCAGAGGGGACCCTGAGAACGAGACCCTGACGTCCCTCCTCAACGAGATCTTCTTCCTCAACCAGCAGAACGTCGCCACGACAACAGAGGTCTCATCACTGGGGAAGCCGTCCTATGAGGATGCCACTAAGCTGGGCGGAGCCAAGGAGCGGCAAGACGCCCACATCCCGGGGCAACTCCAGCTGGACTCGGACTGTAACAGCACCGTTGCCACAGAGACTGAGGGGGCGGGGCTTAACGGCCACACTGAGACGACTGGCGTGCAGCCTGGACCAGCAAACACTATTGGAGGCAAGCTGGCTCCGCCCCCTCTGCTGCAGATGAAGGTGGGAGGAGACAAAGTGGCTCCGCCCAGCACAAGTGACGGGGTAGCGGGGGTGTCATCAACAGAGGGGGGGGAGGGGGGCGTGGCCTGGAGGCCAATGCCGAGGCTGGTTCCTCTGGGGCTGAGAGGAAACCTGCCCAGCTGACATCACGCATGATGTCACCGCAGCTTCAGGACTTCATTGGCAGCCTGTGGGCAGCGAACATTCTCTGATTGGTCCTGTTTTTTTGTTTTTTGGATGACCAATCAGACCCCTCATTGATGTTTACAGACAACCAGAGATTATGTCATCGTTTTATTTATTTTGTCCACGTCTTCATTTCGTCAGTTTGAGCTCCTTCGTTTGTTTACTTTAGTTGTTGTTTCAGGATCGTTTCAGAATAAAGCGCAAACATTTGCGCCGAAAAGCCTCAACAGAAATAATCCCGATACTGACCTGATAACAGATCAATACTGTAATATCAGACTGAGGCTGTCCCTATGGGAACGGCAGGCACCCTGTCGCCAAGGTAACCTCTGAGGGGAAAAAGTTGCGAAAAAATTCTGAATAATTTTGGTTATGTTTCCAAATTATAATGTAAAGAAATGAAGAATCCGTCACTGCAGCCTGAATTTATCCTTCAAAGCTGATTTAGTTTCATATGTTTGAGAACTAATTACATCCGTTTTTGTTTAATTTAGAAATTACTTTTTTTTTCCTTTTTAAAAAAAAAAATCATTAGTTTTTCATGTTGAAATGTTTTACTTAAAAAAAAAAAAAAAAAAAAAACTTTGCAAACCTGACAGACTCTTGGGAAATGTAGAACGCCTCCTTTAGTAGAAAGAGAAACTTTACAGTATTTCTAAAAACAAGTTTTCTGCTTGAAATGTTGCAGCTTTACTCTGAAAATCTGAAACAACAGACAGAAGCTTTTATTTTTGTACTTGAAGGATTTTCATCAAAGTTTTTGTTCATCGGCGTCACGTCGCGATGAAATATTTCAACTGTTTCCGTTTTCAGGAAATAAACTATGACAGGAAAGTTTTTTTGTGTTAAACTGTGAAAACTCCTTGAGTTGGGAAAGGACACTCGCCTGGACAGACTCACCTGGACGTACCTGGACTGACTGAACTCATCTTGACTCACCTGGACTGAATTCACTTGGACTCATCTGGGCTGAAGTACGTAAACTCAACTGGACGGACGTACCTGGACTGACTCACTTAAACTGACCTGGACAGATTCCACTGGATAGACCCACCTGGTCAGACTCACCTGGACTAACTTATAGTCTCACCTTGACTGTTTCAGTTGGACTGGGCTGACTTACGTAAACTCACCAGGACAGACTCACCTGGACGGTCTCACCTAGACGAACTCACCT